GAGAAATATTAAATATTTCAGTTTTTTAAAAAAATAATTAAATTTTTTTATAGTAAAATACAAATTTATTAAAATATTAATTATATTATTTGATTTATATATAAAAGGAGAAATAAATATCAAATAAGGTTAATTCGAGTTACAAACAAGTCAATATCGTTTCAATAAAATTTTTAGTTTGAATTCTTACGTATACATAATATTTCACTAATTATTTAAATAAAATCTTAAATTTAAATATTTGTATACACAAAATCTTCAGTAAGATAAATTTACTGTTTATGACTCATATTAAATTTGGATTAAATTAGATGTATAAAAAAAAACAATATATATTAAAGAATTAATGAGCTCCAACTAATTTAATTCTAATAAACTCTATGTCCCATTGCAAACTTAGAAAAGGTGAGCATTACCTACCCACTACCCATCTATGTTCCATAGTCAATAAACGTTTTGTCCCATTTGATTTGAACTCCTTCCATAAACATAGCAGCTCACTGGCTATATCTATAGCAATTGAAACGAATTGGGTCCCTCAATTCCATCTCATTTATCTATTTGTTATTATTACACGTTAATTAATTAAAGGTACGATAGAAGATAAAGCGTTGGTATGCACGAAGTAACTCTTTCTTCATTACGAAAATGTGCACGAATAATCATAATAGTTGAATTTGTTTATAAATTTATGCAAAATTAAGGCAACAAATTAATAACCTTAACTAATGTCAACATTAAATTACAAGATTATTGAATATTTTTCCTTATATTTTTATGAGTTTTGTTTTTTCATTTTATTACTGATTCACTAAAAACTTAAATATCAACTTTTGGTGGATTTGACACTTATATGCGTTGTATTAATACTTTTTACAACACTTTTTCTCTCTTTTATTTCATCACTGATATTACTCTTGTCTCTTTTTTCTCATTTCTTATTGTAGCTTATGAAAAGTTGTTGGAGGAATAATATTAGTACTAATTTTAGAAGAAATGAGAGGGTAAGTTAGTAGGTGAAAGCAATAGGGGAGTATTTATCATATGCATGGCCTGTGCGAGCTGTAGGAGGCAGATGGTAGTGGTACCTGATAGTTGATGCCATGGTGGCCACACCCAGCTGGCTGGGGTCTTCCATCAACCTCATCATTTTGTTGGCAGTTGGAATTCAATATCACTGTAATTCCCAGTCTAACATATGTTGTTTTACACTTACACAACATTTACCATTAATGAACTCCATTTGCAAAGTAGCGCCCCAAAAGCAAGATAATAGGTCAGTCTTTGAGAAGTATTAAACATATTTTATATTTTTAAAATAAAATATATATATTTATTTAATAAACTAATATAAAAATAAATTTTAACACTTATATCACTTAATAACTTCTCATTCAATGCACTGTTAAATTGAAAGTTTTTATTAAATAAATTAACTTTATAAAATTCTATATAAAATAAAATTAATAAATATTTAATTATATTACTTTATTTTGACAAATAATATGACATGAGTAAATATTAAATTTTAAGTAATATATTTACAAATATTTAAAATATATTAAATTTAATATATAAAATTAAAAAAATAATATAAAATAATTCAAGGGTTAAAATCATTAATTTTATATTATATAAAAAAGTAATTAATTAAGTAATGTAAACGTGCGAATTTTAGAATCAATATATCCACTCTCTCATATGTGACGTTATCATCATAAGAAAATTTAGTGTATATATCTCTATCTTTATTTATTTATTTATTTGTCATGCTCTGTCTTTATTCTGATGACGAGAATTCTGCAGTTTCTTGATGCAGCCTCAAAAAGTTTACAATGCAAGATTCCACCTATGCAGTAACAAAAAAATCATTTACGTGAATGCAATGATGTGCAAAATACGTGTTTTGGGAAGCCGGAATATATCCTAGGGATAAAACAAATTGCAAATTCTAAAGATTATTATAGTCAAAAGAAATTAGCAACTTTTTGATGATCTATATATTCACTATCCCCACGCCATGCACAATGGTCCATTATTTCTTTTCCGGAACTTTTTCTTTATGTCAGGTTCATGATATTTATTGTTTCTGATTGATATAAAATGGGGTACGAATAGATAAAAACTCTGACAATATTGTGGCAGTGGAGGGCATTGTGTTGTTATTATTATTTCAGAAAATGTATGGAGTATAGGGTCCTAATATATCAACTTGTAACAGATCAAACACTTTATTTGAGCATGCATTACTGCTCTAACGTGGCAATTTCCTTTGCGTAGTAAAATTAATCACATATGTCACAGTTGGGAATCATTGTTTAAAAAAAATGAAAGGGAATCGAGAAAGAAGTATTAAACTGGAGTTTGATGCATGGCCTAATTAATTATCAAAGACGCTAAAGTGAAGTTTTTTTTTTTAATTATTGGTAGAAGCGTTTTGTGAATATAAATATGTTAATTTGACTCGTGGAAGATATATCTATCACCGATTCACAAACAATTCATCCAAACTGATTGTTATATATCTTCTTTTTAGTGTTCTGTACAATGACATAAGAATTACTATGAAGGATTAAGCAACGTTGTTCATTAAATTTACCTCATGGAGAACGGGAAGCAATGGTGTTTAAAAACAATAAGAATTACTACGAAGGAGGTGGTTAATTGACAGTGAATTGACTGTATGATCAACACTGTTTAGATTCATCCAAGCATGCTCAAGTTGTTAGCAAAGTGAAAGAGATGTGAGATTTTAGACGAAGAAATGAAATGTTAGACTATTCATGAGTGTCACATTAAAAAATTTAAAAAAATACTATAAATATAAAAATTAAATAGTTATGTTAAAAATTCATAACGGTAAGCAAAAGAGAATGCTTCTCTTTCTACTCCAAACATAGAATTCTAATACCATCTTAATGTTAATCAAAAGTAATCCTTTCATTATTATTAAACTTTGAACTAATACGTTACTAAACGGAAGGTTTATATAACTACTAGAATTCGTCATTTAGCAAAGCATAAAATAATTTACTTTTTAACTGAATCTTAATTTTTTCTTTAGTCATTAGTATTATTTGCTATTCAGTAATACTTTCATTTATTTGTTTTTTTTTTTACCTCTCTCGAATCCTTAACTAAGTAAAGCTTTTTCTTTTTTTTACTTTTAGTGTTTATATATATATATATATAAATGATATAAAATAATTTAATAATAAATTTTGTCAATTTTTATTTTATAAAAAATTATTAAGAGATATCAAAATATGAATTTAATACCTAGTTTCATCTAATCTAACTGCCCGTTTTTTAACCTTAAAATTATTATCGCTCTTGTAAAGTTTCTTCTTGTCATTTTAAATGAATTAAAAAAACTATATCATCACGATGAGATCATTAATTGGGACACCAATATTAAAATAAAAGCTTGGACAGAAAAGGAAAAATATTCAAGTATTTAGGTAAAACTTTTAAATTTGTCATATAATAGAAAATTTGCAATGTAGACGGTTGCTTTTATTATTTTTCATTTTCAGGTATGGTATTATGATTTTGTGGTTGCAATATCTAATATAAGTGATGTACACAAAGTATTTAATCCAGAAGTCAGTGACACATGTCAATTCTGATCTCTAATTTTAAGTCCAATTTTATATGCCCACGCCTCCTTTTTAATTGCAACCGAACAAATACTACTCATTTAACTACAATTAACATAATAAATATGATAGTGATTGGTGCATATCACACGTCACGCCATTATCATATGAATAATTTAACGACCATTGGCACAACAATTGTTAATTTTGCCGGTGAATTGTCTTGGAAGTTTGAATTATGGAAGAAAATTCTTTCAAGCACCAGGGGCATGCATCATGCACGTCTAGACTAACACTTGCAAATTGCAATCAAATTTGAAATTGAGCATCGACTTTTGCTGCCTTTTTAAGTTGTAATCAAATTTGTATCGTATCCCTTATACAATGTACTACAATAAAATAATTTACAAATAAACTTTTAATATACATTAAAATGGCGATGTCAAGATCGATAAAACCTAGGCGAAACACAAACAATTTTTTTAGCTTGCGTTTTAATAAAACAAATTGCACCCCTCACACACATAAAGAAACTTACGAATCCAATTTTGGATTTGAATGATCTCTTAATACCACTAATTCTGATAATGTTATATTATAAAGAAACATATAAGCAAACTTATTGAACTTTCTAATATCATGATTTTATGTAAGAGAAATTATACTTATTTGTATGTTTTTAACATAATATTGTCATGTTAATAGTATCAGGGGATCTAAATTTGTCTAGTTTAGATTTATTAAAAATTAAAATCATGAAATAAATGAATGTATATATATAGATTTTTTTTTTTAATCTTCCTATGTATTAAAATTGAACTAAACATTTTTATGTACGGTCTATATTTATTATTTACACATGAACATAAATTTTTTACATGGTAAACATTTCTTAAATGAAATGAATAATATGCACTGTGAGTCAGTGAGTGCAAATTTTGATGATATGTTCTCACATTGTTTTTAAAAAAATAGCAATATATTATTTGTTAAATTCATTTATTACTAAATTCGTTAAATAAGGTGATAAGATATCACTGGATAATGGCATAAAATATTTTTAATAAATATGCCAAACTCAAATTCTTAAAAAATATTATCTTCAAAATTTAATTTAGATATTATTAATGTTAAAAATATTAAAAAATAAAAATGCATGGATGACGTGTCTTTAATTGTCCTCATAAAATTTTAGAAATGGACACAATATTTTAGTGAGGAATTAGGAAGACAATTGTTGAAAAAATAAAAAGGAGTGTAAAACAACCAACGTGAAAACATGTCCATGCAAACCGGTCATTAATTAAAACCTCAACCAAACTTTCCCAGCCATTAATCACGTTGATCTAATTTAGCACTAGTATAAAGATTCCGCTGCATCCACGCTTCTCCACACACAAGAGAAACACAATCAAAGGGTGGCATGGGACATATTAAAAGAGTAGCATGCCTATTTTTAACCCTTATTCTGATGGTGGCTTCGGAGGCTAAGAATGTCCCAGCCGTGATTGTTTTTGGAGACTCCTCAGTTGATTCTGGTAATAACAATTTGATAGCTACGGTTCTAAAGAGCAACTTTAAGCCTTATGGCCGTGACTTCGAAGGTGGTCGATCCACGGGACGGTTCTCCAATGGTCGTGTCCCCCCAGACTTCATTGCTGAGGCTTTTGGCGTTAAAAGCACAATACCCGCATACTTGGATCCTTCTTATACAATTCAAGATTTTGCCACTGGCGTTTGCTTTGCCTCTGCTGGAACTGGGTACGACAATGCAACTGCTGCTGTATTAGTAAGTGCCTTTTCCCTTTCACCTTTACCTTTACCTTTAACCTTAAATATTTTTCATCTTCAAATAAAGGGTGAATAACTTTATTTTAAGTAAGTTAATGCAATTCTATAAAGGGTAATAGTTTTGGTATAATATAACTTAGACGAATCATTTAAAGTAAGTACATACTAAACAAAGTAATGATAAAGGTATATAATTATTGTGATATGTCTTACTATTATCAGAAATTATTTAATGTGATTTGAATAAGGGTCATTTAATATATTTAATATTTAACTGTGTCGAATAAAATTGATTTCTATGAAAAATACCTATAAAAAAAAGTTAAGGCAAATCAAAATATAATTTGCCTACAATAGAGGTTTTAAATTTTGGGAGTATTATATTGAGTGAGTAAACTATTTTTTGTGTGTGTGTGAAGTAATTAACATGGGTCGTTGTATATCTTACAGAATGTGATACCGTTGTGGAAGGAAATAGAGATGTACAAGGAGTATCAAACCAAATTGAGAGCACATGTTGGTGTAGAAAAAGCCAATGAAATCATAAGTGAAGCGTTGTACCTTCTGAGCTTAGGAACCAATGATTTCCTTGAAAATTATTATTTGTTCCCAACCCGACGAGCCCATTTCACGGTGTCACAATATGAGGATTTGCTCTTGGGCATTGGGGAGAATTTTGTTAAGGAATTGTACGCACTTGGAGCCCGAAAATTAGCCATAACTGGTCTTGTTCCCATTGGGTGTCTCCCCTTAGAGAGGGCTACAAATATTTTAGGGTATCATGGTTGCAATGAGGAATACAACAGTGTGGCTTTGAGCTTCAACAAGAAATTGGATAATGTGATTTCGAAGCTAAATAAGGAGCTCCCACACATGAAAGTGGTGTCGGGAAATGCATATGGCATCGTCAATGATATCATTAAAAGACCTTCCGCATATGGTATGTTTTCTATTATATTTGCTCTAACCTTTTCTATTTCGTTTTTCACTTCTGTGTATGATTATATGCTGTTTTCTCCTGCCCGTTTCTTTCTTCTTCACATGGTATGCCAATTTCTTTCTTTCTTCCGACATTTATCGACACATCCATATCCTTTAATATTATTTTGTTTCTCCCATCAATGTTTCAAACATTTTTTGTCACATCGAACACAAGACTTCTGCTCAAATATTTCATCAATGGTTCAAGTTATTAGGTCAAATCCAAAACCATGGTTTGGATTTCAAAGCCAAGAAAATATAAATTGTTTGTATAACACGTGTCTAACCACACATTAAAAAAATATTAAATACACTTTGTTAAATATTTTAAACTATTAAAGGATATATATTGTATATTTTTTATGATTTTAAATAATAAATATTTTATTTTTAATACAAATATTCTATTTTGAACTTCTTAACATACGTTAGTTAAATATATATTATAAAAATTAATATAAATATAAATACTAAAAAATTTATAATCTAAAATCTATTAGCATCTCAGTTCTTTATCATTATCATTATTGCATAAATTCTTTTTAATCTTTGACAACAATGATTTAAATTATATTTTCATTTTTCCTCTGTCTAATTTAAAGATAACATTTAAACATGCACATTTTTCTTGTTTTATAAAATTATGTCTGATCTTATTTATAAAAACAAAACCTAATTTATTATATGTCATAAATTTATATTTTATTTAAAACATACATATAGTATTAATTGATATTTTATATATTAATTGAATGAATGCGTTTACTTATATGAATAAAAAGTAAGTATCTTGTTAACAAAAATTTTACAATAAATAAAATTATAAAAATAATTTAGTAATTAGTATATTTAAAAATAATTTATTTTATTATATTTTACAATATCTTTTTAATATTTTTAATGTATGTAAAATTCGTGTTTTAATTGAAACTTTTGAAAAAAGGATTAACCAGCTTAATTTATTAGTTTTTAATAAAAATGATGATTTAAACAACTAAAATCATACAAAATCCAAATTGATGTAAACAACTAATATATATTTTTACAATAATAACTACTTCAAATGTTTTTAACTATATTTTACAGAAATATATTCTTTCCTGTAAAAAATTTTCATAAAAAATTATATATAAATTATATATCTATTTTTTATAACTATGGAATAAATATAATTTTAGAAAATTTAATAAAAAATATAAATATAAAATTTAGGCATTATGTCAGATGAGATCGTATCTCATACCTCACATTTTGCAATTAATAAAAAAAAATAAAAAATCCCATACCTCACATTGGTGATATGCTTTAATTTCTGTATCTAACATGTGGGAATAGCGTAAAGTACTTTAGTAAATTCCATAATTAATATTTAATGCACTGCACCTAACAGGGGCGCTGGGGCTTCTGATTGAAACAAGACCCCTATTTTTGTTGCAGATTTTCTCTTTCTTCAAATTCCGATTTGACTTTTTTTTATTATTAAATCCCACTTAAAATTTTCATCACACTTTCTTCTACAATAAAAGAAGAGATAAAAATTATTATTATTATTACAAAATATGATAAATGATATGATTGAATAATATTATAAAAAATTTAAATTAGATGTTTATTTAAGGATCTTACAAAGGTGTATTTTAAGAATAATAGTTAAACTAGTTAAAAGTTTTAAGAATATTTTATCAAATATTTTTGTTTATTTTAGAAAATTAAATTAATTTTATATTTTATGCAGTAATTTACTAAAACAACGCTAATTTTTATTTTCTAAACTTTAATCCAAGATAGTAGTTAGCATGCTTTTGGGTTTTAAATGTAATGAGTTTTTTTTTATTTTTTTATATATTATTCAATTCTGAAATTTTATGGCTACCGAAGCTCGTCTAGTACATATTTTTGTGCTTTAAAGTTGCCGGCGGAAGTTCAAATAGAACAGTGGGCAAGGGCATCGAGGGACCTTTAGTGTACTCAGCTTTTAGGTTTGCTTTTATTTCTTATCATTAATACCAATTTATGGAGGCTACCTTCAACACACATGGTAGAGTGTGGCATATGTATCAACATGAAAGGCCAATTCTTAGGGTACACAATTTTGCATCCACATTTCAAATAACCCATGTTAACAGTTCTGCTATAATTAAAACAAAAGAAACCCTTTTTGAAGAAATTTATAAACAGAATATTTAGAAACATTAGTGAAAGAAATGATGAAAAATGAAAAAGAATAAAGGGAAAGTACATAATTCATTATATTTCAAACTTAAAAGATATTTAATACTTTTGTTTCAATAATCGAAATGTTTAATGTAATGTTTTAAATTCTTTGTATTCAATATTTTTAAATCATTTAAATTCATGAAGAATTATTAAATTTAAAAGGAAAAGATATATTTAATATATTGCAAGTAAAAAGTGTACAAGAAAATATTAACTCTTTTAAGCAACTAAAAGTAATATTTTAAAAAAATTATATCAATAATATAAAAATGTAATAAATATTTTAAAAAATAGTTTTATATACTTAAAATTAATGAAAAAAAAATATTGAATAATTGTATCTTTCTATCTATTTTTTTCAATAACCTACCTATTACCTAAAAAAATCATAGACACAAACTTTTTCTACCACAGTATATTCCTACTAGACTGAAATCCAAAAATGGGTAAAAGCCTTATCAAAATGTTCAATATGTACCATCATATGTTGGTCCAAATAGAAGGAGTTTAGGATCCTCAAGCACATGGTTTTGGGTTTGGTCCCATAATTAATGTGTATAAGAAAAACACTATTAAGAGAGATTATAATTACTTCAACCTCTAACTATTTTGAGAATGTTTTGACATGGACTTACACTTTTAGTACCATGGATTTCAGGATTTGAGGTTGTAGAGAAGGCGTGTTGCTCCACTGGAACATTTGAGATGAGCTACTTATGCAGTGACCACAATCCACTCACATGCAAAGACGCCAACAAATATGTGTTTTGGGATGCCTTTCATCCTACTGAGAAGACAAACCGCATTGTCTCAAATTATTTGATTCCAAAGTATCTAGCAAATTTTAGATGATCCATTAGTTTTCTTAATTTTATAAATATAGTCTTGCCAAGATATATACATATAGCGAGATTTAATTTAGTATTGGATTTCCATGCTATATATGTATATGTTTCCTTTGTTCAGCTGTTATTACAACTAAATTAGCAGTTCTGAACCATGCACTGATGTAGACGACATATTAATTAGACCTATGTATACCTTCACATGTTACTGTGCTCGGGTTTTTGCTTTCACTGATTCTTCGATGACTTTAGGCTTTGGTTTTTTACCTAAGTTTTGAGACCAACTTTTCATATTGGGGTCTTTTAATGCGTTTCTTATGAATTTTGTTTAGATTATATACCTAAGTTATAGGGTTCTAATAAATAGACAAATATTTTTTAATTAGATGTTTTTAAAGTATTTGAGTTATAATAATTTTTTTATTTAGTAAGTAAGAAGATTAATAAACAAAATGCTGTAGAATAATTTAGAATTATCAACCTCATCTGTTACTGTTACGAAAAATGAGTTCTACTTAAACACGTTTCCTTCCTCTTCGTTTATAATTCTGCTCAAAATTTTCTACTTGTGCATTGGCATGGGTGCACTATTCTAGTTATACTAAATTTAATCAAGAAAAATAAAAAAAATAAATCTCTTTATTAAACAAGAGGACCTTTAAAATATACTTTTTTTCCCAATAAGTTATGTGATATTTGCCACATCAAGTATATTGTATTGTATTTTTTTAATATTTGTATTCCTCTTGAATATTAATTCTTAAATTTAGTTAATTTTAGTTTTTATCTTTATTTTTTATTAATTTTTATTAAAAACAATAAAATTCTTCCTATCAACAATAAAAACATATTCTATTTTTTTTCTTGAGACATGTAAATGATTATTTAACAATAATATTATTAAAATTATATTTTTATATTTTAATTAATTTAAAAACGTCGATGATTACACATAAAAGAATTACCATATATTATACTAAATTAGGACTAATTAAGCAAGCAATAACTATAAAAATTATTATAATTTAATTTTTTGTAAACATAATTATAATTATAGGGTAGAGAACACACACACAGAGCTGCGCAGCTCAAACAGAGCCCAATTTAATGTATCGCAGGCTCCAAAGCCCAAAACAGGGTGCAACTCGCGTTCTTGGAGTGTGGCCCAAATACAGTAGAACACAATGGAAAAGACTATCTCTTTTACTTGTACATCTTTGCAAGAACACCCAAAAAAGTAAAACAGAGCAGCTTATAAACGATTCTTACCGAATTTTATACACAGTTGACCGAAACAAGAACATGGTGATAAATAACATATTATATAAAACTTAAGGAGAGTATTATAAGTATTTTTAAAATTACTTTTTAAATTAAGATTTATGTTTTTATTTTAGTAATAAAAAATAAATATAAAATTTTATTGATATAAAACTTTAATTTTAATCAGTAAATAGCACAAACAATACTAAAAAAATGGTATATAATTTTCTTCTATGATATTACTCATCTTATCTCACATTTCTTTCTCTTTCCTTTATATTTCTCTTATAAAAAGCTTATAAGTTTAATTTCTAGTGTAAGAACCTTTGTAATAAACTTTATCTTGCTTACCTCAGTATGAAAAGTATAACATTTGCATAGGTAGGATTTAAAGGGATACAACATTCTTACACAAGTCACAAACGTCGTTCAAAATTTAACTGGAGAGGTATTAGTTACACTAATTTGAATAAAATGGTGTTAGTAATTAAAAAAAAAAAAACGTTACAATCATTCTAAACAAAATTATGAGATTAAGTTATAAATACTCTAAAATGCTACCAACACTTACTCTAAATAATAAGAATTTTGATTTTCACTAAGTAAAAGTATGAGATTTATTAAATAGGGACAATAAAAAAATCCTGCGAATGAAAAAAAAAATGGATGGAAGAGTTATCCTATCAAAAAGATTCACTTAATTCAACTCAAATTGGTTAAAGTTTAATAGAATTTTTAAATACCAACCATTTCAGACGATAAAAAATTTAAAAGTACTAGTTTTAATCTGTTCATGGTAATTTCTTTCAATTTTTTTTTCATTAAAAAGCTGTAGCTTCACTGACATGCATGTGTTATGACTTATGAGCAAGTCGATCCTGATTCCTGAGTTTGCCCTTGAGCAAAATAAGAAACAATAGATGAATTTAATAGCATAGATAGAAGTTATTCATCACCTTACCTGAGTTGTTGTACCAGTTTGCTTATTGGCCCCGCTGTTCAAATAATTTCCTGATTCGTCTAATAATTCAATTTATGTTTCTCCAAAAACAAAATATTTCCTAAAAAGAATCGGACCATTATATGATGTCTGAATTACGTGAATAGCGATAGGTTCCTATATATATAAATGTTGTCTTGAAATCCATGTGCAGATACATGGAATTGTTGACATTTTTCATGCATTTGAATCACTGCTTATTCACCTATTTCACAATTCTGACTTAAATATGAAGATTTTAAAAGTTTGTAATTAAGTTTTTATAATTTTAAAACTTTCTAATCAGGTCCGTACTGTTAGAACAAAAACATTAGAATATTGTAATGTTCTCACTAATTTATTTTTCCTTTTTTTTTTCAGGTCGAATATCTCATTTAATTTCTAATACTATGGTACCCCATATATGCAGTAGGGCCCCTAAGAATTAATTACTCGGTTAGGAATGCAAAGCTTTGAAAACAAGAAATATATTATTTTACATGAAGCCATTTGAAATAGACAATGGGCTGAAACAACAGCCAATCATTCTTTAAAGTTACCAACACATCATTGGACCATTTTCTTCAAAACAGCTTTAAGCGAGCTTTGATTTGAAAATTTCCACAATATCTAGTGGTTTGATAAAAAAAAATTCTGTGATTCCAGTAGCAAAAACTTAAACAATTCAGAAAATGCATAGTTATCAATGTTTTTACCAAACATCAGAGAATAAATTACATACCACGTATTTTGTTGTTAGTTATATAACACTTAAATGCAGATGTAATACATAGTTCTACATCTCACATGGTAGCAATTTGAGTTTCCATAAGTGTTCTATGAGGCCAATAATATCATTTTCTTTTGACATTAAATTCTTTTTCTACATGGAAAATAGAAAAAAAAAAAAAAAAAAACTCAAACATGAAAAGTCTATTTTATGTCTCACTAAATATAGAGATAAAGAAAAAAGAATTATTTTATCAAGAGAGACAAAAAACTGACGAGTAAAAAGAGAAAACTATTTTTTGTATATATTTAAAGTAGACATAATAACTAATTTTTTTTTTATTGTTGAATAGATGTGATTTTTCATTTTCAATGATTGGATATCATAAAACATTAGTTTCACACATTATCTCTATTTCTAGAATTTTTTAAATCTTCTTTATTCTTATTTATACATTTTATTCTTTTGATATTTAAGTGATTGTTAGTACTATTTTGCATGCTTAATTAATTTTTCTTTTATATCTTTATTTGATCATATTGAATTTTATCTTAGTTAAATAACTTATATCTTTTACATCTTATGTTGAGAAGACACGTTTTTTTTTTAATTGTTACTCCTTTCAAATTCTTACAAGTTTGTAAGATTTATTTAGCATTGTGTTTATTTTTTTATTTGTTATCACTCCTTTCAAACATTTGAAACTCTGAATGAGATTAGGTCTTAGATTTTAGGAATATGACTTTGAAATAAAATTAACAGATCTATCGTTGAGTTACTTAAATCAAATTAAAAATCATCAAAACAAAGATAAAAAAGACCTTATAAAATACAAGATGCTATAAAAAAAAAATACAAAAAAGGATCAGTAAATAGTAAGATATGATTACAAGATAATCTGAACAAAAATTACGATTTAAATATAATAAATAAAAAATTAAAAAAATAGAAAGAAAAAAAGAGAGAATAAAACACCACAAATTCAATTCAACAAAAATTAAAGAATAATAAGTTTGATGTAAAATTGTTAAGAGTGTGAGATCTTTAATAAAATTCAAGCAATGTTCTTTCTAAGAACTTTAAAAAACACAAACTCTTTATCATTAGTTCTCATTCAAAACTAAAATTTCTTTTCTAGATAAGTATTTGAAATAAAAAGTGAAACCTTACAAAGTTTTAATAATGACCAATTCCAATAACTGATAATTTAAATAAAAACTTTAAAAGATTTTAATAAACAAGCTTACTAAATATAATATAATAAAGTATAAAACTTAAAAAAGACTTAATTAATGATGTAGTTTATTCTATCAACTTAAAACATAATAAATCAGTAATTAAAATATTACGTTTTAACCCAAAATAATAATAAAAATAAAGATTAACTAATGTAAATTGAATTAGTTCTTAACTTTTATAATTTTCAGTTAAAATATAAAAGTTCAACCTTAGTTTCTTCATGAGATATTTTGATCATAATTATCACCATATATAATATATGACTTCTTCTCCTTTCCTTTTTTTTTTCCTTGTTATAAGATTTCTAAATGATACAGTAGCAATAAGTCAATCAATATGAAAAGAGACTCGAGGTCTTTACACTTTAACTATCATTTTTATTTTATGTATTTGTTATTCTAAGTATTTTTGTGTACCACAAAAAAACAAGTGTCATTTGATGGAAATCCTTACTCTTTGTAAACGTAATCTTCATGAATTTATTCAACTATGGTATGGCCACGAATGGAAAAGTTTCACACACAACACACACTCATGGAGAATGGTGAGCGATCGAGGATAGAAATCCACTTACTAGTTAGTGACAACAGAAAGCAAAACTCATCATTTATTAAGTAATATACACATAAATCACATCACCTCCTTTCTTGTTGGGTAGCATTGATCAATTAATGGCTTAGGCCAAGAACTGAGGATCTTGTTCCTTGGGCGGTTGCAACTACACGACTGGCTAATTAATTATGCTGCCGCGCGCATCACTCTTTGCATCAGCGTAAGCCTTCTACCTCTTTCGGTGGTAGTTGGTGTTGCAAACCAAGTCAAACATGCATGCATGATTCATAATATGAACTCTCGGATTGGAAACCTTTCTTTTCTTGTATGCATTAAAGAAGCCTACGCCTGTCAATACAATAAAACAAGAATTACTAAAAAAAATATGACATCTTGATATTGTTTTTCTTTTAATTTAACCCATATTATTTTTTTTTCCTTCTAAATTGTAGCATTTAGAAGAAAAAATATATATAATATGGGTTAAATTATGAATTCATTCGCGAACGCGTGGGCTAAATTTTAGTCTCATCTAATTTAATATGAAGCCCACAAAAAAACACTTTAATAATAGTTGATCCTGTGTAAAATTTCTAAATACCAATGTTTTAGTTGAACTCCAGTTTCTATGGAATTTCAACATTAATGGGCATAACATGTCTCTAAGTGACATCACTTGGCTAGCTGCTTCGATCAAACGTCTGCATTTAAATTTTTTGAATTTGAGTTTCATCGATCTATTGGGCAACATTTTGTATGCGCACCATGCTCATATAGTTTGTAATACAAGTAACTTAATTACATAAACAAAATTAGCATTATGTTTGCCAGTAAGTTTTTGATTACTAAAATTTAAAACAAACGTCACACTCTTCATTAACTATAACATTTTCTCTTATATGTAACAAACGTATGTTGAGGAATACTAACAAAAATATTCTTTAATACACTCTTTTTAACCACTCTTAACTGTTATATTTCAAGTTTGAATTTAGGATTTGTTTGATGGGGCCAACTATTAATCTCGTTAATAAAAAGAAAATTACTAATAGTCGTCGAAATTTGTGATATATCTTGTCCTTGAAAATAACAAGAAAAGCCCTCCTCACATTCACATTAAACTTTTATATGCCATAAAAAATGGGGTATTGTGCAGCTATCTCTACCAGATATGGAGAATGTGGTTCAGACTTCCGAAAAGAAGTACTTTTTACTAGATTTTGGTAGATCATGCCTGGTTCCAATTTATTAATGTACGGATTTGGTTGAATATAATTCACCAATCCACAAGATCGGTTCATGCAATGGAAGTGGGGGAAACTTAAGCTCACGAACTTATTTATGGTTTTGCACGGTGAGTCATCCTCATAACTTTGCAACAACTGAGAATGACTCACCTTTACAAGAAGCTTCTACCTCTTTTTAATTAGGTCAAAAATATAGAACGATCGATGGCCAATATATATATGATTTGATATGTGAGAAGTTATTCAGTTTTCATTTCAAATTTTCTAATTATGTTATAAATAACTAAGAGCATATTTCGGTTTATCTTTTTTATTCCTTTTATTGTCCCATTTTTAAGATATCAACTGTTACGTACTATTTCTTAATTTGGACGAAGTTATATTTTACTAAATGTACAATGTTTTAGGTTCAATATTATGCATAAAAAATCATTTAAAAAATTCACACTAATATATTATGAATATTCTTGATTTAGACAAGATCAGCTCTCTAAAATATATTTATAGTATAAATATATTTAATGCTTAGATCATATTATGTGTATTATACTCATTATAAAAATTTATTTTTTAAAAATATAACTTGAACTTAATGCATTAGGTACCGAATAATGCGACACACCCAATATTGCATCATCAAATTAAATAGTCTTTGGAGAAGTTTAAATTAGTACCTCGAAATTTAAGTTATGAACAATTTAAATTTCAATCTTTAGAAAGGTACATATAAATTCTTAGGATTTTCGAAGTAAATGAAACGAGGCTTCTGTTGACTTTTCAGTTAAATATTGATAGAAAGTATCATATGATTAATATATGACTATACATAACGAAAGGATCATTATCCACCTATTTACGTATGCTCTTTATTTTTATCAGTACATTAAAAGGCGTATGCTACATGAATGCAATGAGTGGTATTTCTTGTTATGCATGTTTGAAAATCTAATAAAATTATGTAAAATTAACGTAAAAGTTATAATTATAAGGTTAAAATGGATCTACATTTCAATAAATTTGAAACATTGATGCAGAACCAAACACTCCATTTGCTGGGTTCACAACTTAATCCATTTAGAAGGACCACATCTGATCCTTTCCTTACACTTACGCTATTTTCGGACGCTCCAATTTGTATCCCACTTAACACTCCATTTATAATATTTTTTTGTATTATCATTATTTAATCATACATAGATATATGATCAGAAATATCTTTTATAATAATATTACATTTATTTTTATTTATCTTTCAGTGAAAAAAGTACACAGACTAAGAAATTTGATAATTTTATTATAATTAATAACTATATTTACTAATTTATCCCCTGTTAACGAATCTCTTATATGAGCAGAGAGTAATAATATTCTTTTAATCTTCCGAATACTTTAATAAATAGTACTAAATAAGAATACAAATGTATTTAATATCTGCAAAACATAAAATGTATTTAACTCTTTTCTCATGTAGTAAGTAGGAGGATTTAAAATATTCTAAGAACAATGAGCATTAACAAAAGAATAACAATAATTAATATTGTCTATAAATTCTATATAGACAAATAAATATAAAAACATTCTCTCCAAATAGATAAACAAAAATAATTACATAGTACTTTAGAAGTCATATTTTGAGTTATTTTAATTATTAATAGTGTAAAAATCTTTCTGCAATAGTATATCAAAACTATTTCATATCTAAATAATTTTTCATCTTTTAAAATCAATTGTGCCAATTTCTAGAACAAGAACAATTATAACAACACAACCTTTTAAATACTTTCTTTAACATACTCAGTGGGATTAGTCTATGTTCTTAAAAGACAAAATATTTATTATCTTATAAATTAATTACCTAAAATTATTTTAAAAAATTAAATAAAAATATATTTAAAATAGAGTATTGCTTAAGTTTTTGGACAAAAGAAATCGACACTTAATTGCGAATTCCAAACACAGTATAATTAAGAAGGGCAGAGTGTAATTACTGAGAAGCACTCTAAGTTGTATGAGAAGAGTTCAAACACTTGTTGGAAGGCATGAAGTGTCTTTATTATCATGAATGCAATACTACTCAAATCGACACAAACAAACTAGCCAATCACACCTATGTACGCTCTATCACGGGAACTAGGAAAATTTAATTTTTTTTACACAAAAGAAAAATAAGATATAAATTTAAAACTGTAAAATGGAAACTTTTTTTTTAACACAAACCAAAAATAAATATATGTTCTATTTTCTTCGATTTAAGACATTTTCGTGAGAGTGGAACATTACGTAAGTCTTTCGTATGGGGTGAAAAGAGAATTAGATATAAATACATTAAATAGGTAGGATCAAATCGAAATTTCAAAGATCTTATTTAAGATGCTTGTATTTTTTTCTTTTTCACGTGAATTTATTAACATGCAAAATATCATATATATATATATATATATATATATATATATATATATTAAGATGACAAGTGTTTTTTCTTCTGTGAACACTAGAACGGGACAATAAAACGTTATCCCTCTTGATTTTGAAGGTTTATTTTTTGAAAAATTTAAAAAGTGAAATAGAAAAATTATACATAATATTACACGTGATTTGATGTCAATTTTTTAATGTTCAAAATAATAAATCTGTTATAAGATTTATTGTGGAGACGTTTTCACATTCTTTTAATTTCTATTTTCAGCTAAACTATCACCTGGCTCATTCACAAGACACTCGTCATATCTAGGATGTGGTTGGTTTCTATTTAATTTATTTTTAAAATTTTAAAATATATTTTATCAATAATTATAAAAAAATATATCACTGGTATTTTTTTTTATTTCTTTTAGCAGTAACTAAAGAAACAATGAAGATAAAAAAAATTATTTTTTGCAATTTCTTGAATAAGTTATTGAAATAAAAAAATAAAAATAAAGTGATATTTTTAGACTTATTCACAAATAAAAAGTAATAACGAAGAAAGGTAATCTAATGTACCCCAAAATAAAGATGGTTTGAATGCGAGTCCCATCCGTAGAGCTGTGATGTTGTCTTAGCAATTATAGTTTCCAACAACTTCTTCACCCAAACATCAAAAGATCAAAGTTCCATTAATAGTCCTAACCAATATTTATTATACCACAAGCTCACTCCTTTAGTCCACTCCAAAGTAACCCCAAACAACAAGCATACACACAAACTAACAATGGAAAAAATGCATGGAAAAACACTATCACTATGCTCCCACATTGTGCTTCAATTACTCATCACCCTTGTGGCCAAAACTAATGCAAAGGTTCCTGCACTCATCGTCTTCGGTGACTCTTCGGTGGATGCGGGTAACAACAATTACATACCAACGATTGCACGGAGCAATTTCCAACCATATGGGCGTGACTTTGAAGGTGGAGAAGCAACTGGGAGATTCTGCAATGGGAGAATACCCACTGATTTTATATCTGAGTCTTTTGGGCTCAAACAAAATGTGCCTCCATATTTGGATCCTAGCTATAATATTTCAGATTTTGCCACTGGGGTCACTTTTGCTTCTGCAGCAACGGGTTACGATAACGCTACTTCAGCTGTTCTGGTAATTATATAATATAACTCACGTCTTTTTCAGACTATACCATGTATATAATGGAAGTGGTTTACGTACTCTTTTAACAACCCACCTCTTTTCTTTGTTTTCTTTTTCTAGGAACTTACAATATTCTTTAATTGATGTTGTTGTTATCTTTGTCGTTTTGTTTTATATGATGGAATTTCCTCACATGATCCATCTCTAGAGTGATAGATCTCATTCTCTTTTTGAAATATTTTATTTTATTTTTTATAATATGTGTAGACATGTATGGTTAATTCAAATTACCTTTCTTATTTATCCCCCCATTTTGAGTTCAAGATTTGGCTTTAATCCTATTATACTTCTTTAACTCTTCCAAAGGGTATTTTAAAAGATAAAATATAATCAATTATTAACTAAAATTTAGTAGTTAAAATTACGATTAAATACATGTACGTCATGCACGCCAAATTATAAAATGTTTTAATCTGCGTTTATAATTATCTGTTATTTTGGAGGAATTAAATCCCTTTTTTCCATCTTATTGGCCAGCTAACATGTTTGCTTAAATTAATTTAAGTATAAACCCATTTTAAAATTTTATAAATAAATTTAATTTTAAATTTTTAAAAATAATATTATTAATTTTGATATTATACTTTTTTTTTAAATAATTCTTTTCATCACTTAGTGATGACATGATATACATTTAAGTGTGTCACGTTCATGATTATTTTGAGGTAGCATATAGCATGACATATCTAAATGTATGTCATGTTATCAACGAGTGATAATAATAATTGTTTTTTAAAAAATTAATAAGGGTTGAATTTAATAAAAAAACTAAAACTAAATTTAGTACATTTACAAAGATAAAAAATATATTTTACCTATTTATTTATATATCCTTTTAGTTTAACTTAATTTTAGATAAATATTTTTTTTTAAAAAATCTCTTATAAGTTGTAAAAATAAGTTTATATATATATATATATATATATATATATAACATAAGTATTTTTAAATTTATGTAATGCTATTAAAATATAAATAAAAATATTAAAAATTGTAAAATTTTTTATAATTAACTTGGGTAAATTTTAAAATAAATAATATCAAATAAAAAAATTCAAAGATGTTTATAAATGATTTAAAATATTTAAAATTTGACCAAAAAAAAAAAGCAAGTTAAGAATATTTAAAAAAAAATATTTGATGTAATTTGATATACAAGGTTGGGTTAGGTTACACGTACTCTTTTACCCACATTTCCAACCCTCCCCTCTACTGCCACTTCTCTTTGCCTCTCCCCTGTTTCTCTTTGCTGCTCTCTGTCAAATACATAGGAAAAATAAAAACAATCCCTTTTTTATTTTTCATTATTTTGAAATTAATTTTTAAATCTGAAATAAAAAAAAATTATGAGGCTAACACATAATATATTATGGAAATTGTAATCTTGGATGCAGTCTGTGATACCATTATGGAGGCAATTAGAGTACTACAAAGGATACCAAAAGAAGTTAAGTGCTTATCTTGGTGAAAGCAAGGCAAACGAGACCATAGCCGAAGCATTACACATGATGAGTCTTGGAACAAACGACTTTCTTGAGAACTACTATACAATGCCTGGTAGAGCATCTCAATACACACCCCAACAGTACCAAACTTTTCTGGCTGGCATAGCTGAGAACTTCATCAGGAACCTCTATGGTCTTGGTGCTAGGAAGATATCCTTAGGAGGGTTACCTCCTATGGGGTGCCTGCCATTGGAGAGAACCACAAATATTGTTGGTGGGAATGACTGTGTTTCTAGGTACAATGATGTTGCTTTGGAGTTCAATGATAAGCTCAAGAATTTGACCACTAAGCTCAACCAAGAGCTCCCTGGACTCAATTTGGTGTTCTCAAATCCGTATTACGTTATGTTGCATATAATAAGAAAACCTGAAGTTTATGGTATGTTGTTACAAACCATGCATATATTCTTCTGCTGCTTCTTTTGAAAAATGTTAACTAATGCTCTTAAGACACTGATTAAAGAATTAAAAATAGAATATTTTGTTAGAAAACTGAAAAATCACTCACTCTCATGTTTTAATGTATTCTTACACAATTTTTAACAAAAACTTATTATCTATTAATGGATAAAACTTACACATTGTTCTTTAGGTGTTATTGATGTTGTTTGACGATTAAAATATGTGTTTCATTTTGATAAAAATATTTTTATTTAATGTTATTGCAAATTAATGAGATAAAACTCAAATTTGGATAAGTAAACATAAAAAACAATACGTAAATTTTGTTCTTTATTGATTCCTCAACCAATGTTCTGAGGTTAAAAGTTAGCAAGACTTATTTTTTATATATATAAAATAATCATGATCCACATCAATTCTTTTTTTTTTTTAAGGGTTTGAATCAACTTCAGTGGCGTGTTGTGGCACTGGAATGTACGAGATGGGTTATGCATGCAGCAGGGGTGGCATGTTCAGTTGTTCAGATGCTTCCAAATATGTGTTTTGGGACTCTTTCCATCCAACTGAGAAGACTAATAGTATCGTTGTAAAGTACTTGATGCTGCGTGTTTTACATAAATTTTTACAATAAATAACTACTTGTGGAATTTTATTTATGTACTGTAATCTCGTCATGTTTGTACATTCACCATAAAATGCCTTTTGGGCCTTCCAATGAATGACTGCATGTCGATGTGTACATATATAAAAATGCTAGTACAGCACGTTAACTATAAAATGTGCTGATAATTAAAAATAAATCGTTTTGTTGAGTAGTATATAGTATCATCGATTATACTTGTCAGGCAGTTTAGCTTACTGGAATAGACATTCAGGCAGGTATCTTCCATGTATGCTTTCCTTCCCATATTTATGTCCTATTTAATGCGAAGTCGAAGATCATGTTGGGTTTTAGATTGGATCAACCACTCTCTCTCTCTCTCTCTGTGTGTGTGTGTGTGTGTGTATGTGTGTGTGTTATGGAGTATCTAACAAAGTCCTAGTGAAAAAATCAGTGCAATCGTGTAAATTTTAAGCAGCATATACTTCAAGAAGTAAAAGACTAAAAGCATTTTGATGGCTTGTGGGATATACTTTTGATTATAGCTCAGGAACAAGAAGAAAAGTTGCTGGGTTATATTAACTTACTGCATTGCATCACACTTTAGACCAAAGGAAATGCTTTTGTCAGAAGAAATCATGTCATGTGTAGTGTACACAGAGCAAGAAACAGGGTTTAAGATTCTTTAAATAAACCCAACTGTGAATATCCATAGATCCATATATAAATAAACTAAAAGGTTGCTTTATCTTAAGAAGAAATTTTCAATATACATTTCAGTTCCAAAATATCCCTCCACTAAAGATATTATAGCCTATCCTCTGTCACGATTCCGATGCTGTTTCTTCTTTTGGTTGTTGATTTCATCATACATGAAGCTTGTTTGGTTTCCATTGATTAGCATTAACAGCTTATCCCAGAGCGAGAATCTGGTTATGGATATATACTTGATTGATACACAAAAGATATGGCAAAGAAGCCGTCTTTGAAGGTAATCACCTTAATTACCATGAAGCAATACAATTAAAAACGCAGTTTCGCTTTTCCTGATTACATTTATCAAACATCTTCAACTGAAGACAGTTGGTCTTCATTGGGATTTGTTTAATGATAATCAATTGTTCAGAATAAAAGAAAATAGTTAAAACCAAATCATATAAATAATAATAATACACACCTTAGTAACACTTCAATGACCTCAGTCTAATCAGACATCAAGAATGAGAAAAAAAAGTAAAGAGAAACTAAAGGATGAATCAACAATTAAATAGATTTTTTTAATGTGCATTTTCTTTTAAAAAAAAGAAAAAAGCCTATTCATTTACGAAGGAACTTCCTATCGCCAAAAATAAAAAATAAAAATTGTATTTTGGGTAAAATGAGTTAGCAAGGCATATTTTAAGATAAATAGACATCCAGACAAAACTTAAGGGAAGAGTTAGCTCTAATCCTTTTGCGATAATCTCTTTAGACCTTCCCAGACTGTTGAACCTTCAGGATGCACATTCACAAAGTATTTTACAAACTTTTCCTCAGAGGATGCAAGAATAGTGCTCAAGGTCATCATTGGTTTTGCTGCTTTCCTTTCCTTCACCCATGCATACATTGAAAGTCTGAGCGTAATTCTCCCCAAATCATAGCATAAGTATACTGGAAATGCCACAACAGATTCTAATGGGTAACCTAAAATGTTTCTTAAGAAATCAATCTTCTTTTGAATTACAACTTTGTTCTGGTTTAGAATCATAGGAGCCTGTTTTATCATTTTGATTGCAATGTTATAGTCCAAACCAGCTTGAACCAGGCAATCAAACCTCTCCTGTAATTGATCACCTCTCCCTCGGAACCTTTTTACTGCTTTTGCCATCTCCTCAGAGTTCTCTGCATATCCCAGTTTCAGCAAGAACGTTGTTTTCTCTAAATGCTTGCTTGGGTCATCACACGATAGCTGTACAGCACTATTCTGTTTCAGTTTTGAAGCCAAACTAATAAGCTTCCGTGGATCATCCTTTATGATTTGGCATAAATCAGCTTTTCCAATTTTTAACTGCCAACAAACAGCTTTAGGACCTTTCAAGGGATGCAAGCTCAGGAGATGCATGTGTTTAGCCAAAATGTGTGAAATGTCTTTTGTTTCCATTCCAACATAACACAAAAAACCAATCACTCTCAAGAGATTTTTGGCACATTTATTTGACATGATATAGGGATATTCTATAAAAGAAGAATAAATCACATTCTTACTGAGACCTAACTTTAATGATAGACCCAAAAATGCATACAGCTTCTTCCCAATACCTTCCATCAATAATACAGGGTTTTCCTTGAACAAATTGTGCATCTGTTTCTCAGAATAGCCCACTTTATGAAGAAATTGCATAGCATCAAGCATTCTTTTCAAGTCATAACTTTTTGAACAAGACAAATATTTCCCAATCCAATCATGTTCAATACCAATTTTCTTCAACCAATCAAGAATCATGACCAATTCACGGCTTGTTTCACCAACCAAAAGTGAAGGGCAACAAACAGCAAGCTTGATGACCACGGATCTACTCAAACACAAATTCTCGTAAGCTCGAATTTTTGACAACAACAGTTCACTAGGATACCCAAAAACCTCTTTTGTCTCCTTATAAATTTTCCCTATTCTATTTCGTGGAATTCCATAATTACTCAAAGCATGAAAATTTTCAAGCAAAACATGATCATCAGACAAAAACATCATGCCGCGTGGGAGAAACAAATGCAACTCATGAGGGCTAATTCCCAAACTCTCAAAAAATGGTTCAAACTCATTAATGGGATTGTATCTCAGGAATTTCCTCAAACACCTGGCAACATCATCATCCTGTGCATGGAACTCAGACACCAAACCTTGAACAAAAAAAGGTGAATTTTTGCTAATGAACTCAGCATCAATGAAGCTATATCCCCTACTTGAATGCAAGTAATCTAAGAGCACATCCTGCACTTTGGCCGTTACATACCGAGATACCCGTTTCACAGAATAGTATGACTGAATAGAATGCACCCTTGAAACTCGAGGAACATGGGTAACCTTAGAACCGCAAAAGCTTGGAGCTTTGAGGGAGACAGAAAATGGGTGTTGGGTTGCAAAGGGTTTTTCATGTATACAAGGGAAGAAAAGAAAATTGTGGTTTCGACAGAGCTGGGAAATCATTTGGGGCTTTTGAAGAATACCCTTTTGAAAAAAAAGGATTGAGGGATAATGGCACAACAAAGGGCTTTTGTTTGAAGCATTTCAACGCAAGATGGTAAATTTTAAATAAGAAGTTAGTGTGGCTTCCATGACTATGGAAGTGGAGAAGAAAAGAAAGGGCAGGGCTGGAAATCAATTGGGTTCTTCAGAGTCATTAACTATATTTGCTGCGACTTGATATTCGTTTTACTTTACATAATGCAAGTATTTTAATGGCAACCAGTTTTCCTTTTAGAGAAATGTTTAAATTAAATTTATTTTATTTTTTAATTATATATTTTTAAAAATAAAGACGCGTTGTGTTTATATTTTAAAAAGTTATAGTTGTATTTTTATATTTTAGTTTATTTAAATGTTAATGAATTCTTTTTATCAATGATAAATAGATATTAATAGATCTTCTGACACCCTTGTTTTAAGAGTTTAGAAAATTAAATGAATATCTTGAGTAAAACTTCAAAATTTTATTACAGAAGAATTTAAAATTTCATTTCAAATTTTTTAAAATCCTAAGTGAGAAATAAAAGTATTCACAGTTAATAATAAGTAATGTGGAGAACATTAGGAAGAGTAAAATTTCTTTTCATTTATAATCTCACAACAACCATTAAACAATTAATTTACATTTAAATAAAAAAAAATTGTCTTTTCTAGTTCAAGAAAAAATTACACTTTTTTAAAAATAAAATAAAAAATAATATAATTTAAGTCGCTCTTATAGTATAAAAAGTATGATTTATTCAAACTTTAATAGTGAATTAATTTGATAAATTCTTTATTATTAATCTGTCTTTTCTATTTAATTTAACAGCTAACCATAAATAAATAATTGTTTGAATATATTCATGTCATGATTAAAAATTTTGTAAATCTTACTCATATACATAATGTATTAACTTTTTTTTTTTTTTAAGTATCAACATTTTATTAAGAATATATTTATAAAATAAAAAACACTCTAACCTATTATAAATTATACATATTAAATGATCATCAATTCAATTCACACACAGTCAGTCTTTTCAATAGTCCAACCACTAGCACTACCAAAAACAGTATTTAACAAAATCAAACATTTTCCTGTATTAACTTAATTTACATATTCGTTATCATTTGAAACATAATAATATATTGATTTCATAAATATAGTGCAAAATTACATGTTAACCCTAATTTATTAAATGAAAAAAATCATCAATATAAACATCCCAAAGGTTTGTTTTATTTTATTAACTATGGAAAAGCTTTCCGGTTATGAAATGTATATTTTGTTAAAGATTGTTTATATTAGCTAAATAAGTATATTTGGTACTTGTATTAATACCTACTATAAGTATTAACTTTTCAACTAAATATAATTACTTTTATATTAGGTAAATAAGTATAATTGGGACTTATATTAATACCCAAAATAAGTATTAATTTTTAAAAAAATCAGCGAGTCAGTACATCATTAGCTTCATACATAATGTAAGAAAGAGAGCTACCAGTTCTAAGCCCACAAAAGCTGAAAGCGTGAAATCATATTTCTTAAGTGGTGAAAGTAATAGTCTTGTTCAGGTATCAGCCTAATAGGATCCATAGACTCGGACTTCAATTCCATTTTTATGATTCCATTATCCAAGCCAGCTTGAGACCTTGCCACTGATTGCTACCAACTTAGCCGGAAAACGGCATGTTAATCACTTGAGCCAGCCAAGCATATAAGCCATAGCCCATACTCATGCATGTGTAAAATGCCGAAACCAGATTGGCCCAGGTTCACCAAGGAGCTAACTTCAACATTTATCTTAATTCATTCCAGCTGAGGCATCACTTATCTAACTAGACAAGGAGCATGGGCATGGTCTAGAGTTGACTCACTAGAGAGAACTTTTACACAAGTTTCTGCTATTTGAATGAAGCTTCTACATTCTAATCACCATCTCCTCGTTATGATTCTCATTGTTAAAGACTTCGAAGTTTCCAGCTCTCAAAATCAACCAAATTGCAGAGGGCCAGAGGCCAACTGAGTAGTCTGTCCTTGAAAGGCCAACAGCAGAAAGGCAAATTATCCACTCCAAACTGGTCAAGTTATCCAGAGTATCCTGCAGCGCTGTTCTAGTTAAATCCCAACTGTACCCAAATTTCCAATGTTCAAGGTCAGTCCTGCAAGCAACGGAATGTTTCAGAAGAGTAATGGCATCTTGGTCATGATGCAGACGTGGCAAGACCCCATATGTCAAAAAATTGGTCATTTATTGGTAGAGCTCCATGAAAAAACCCACCAGATAAGGCGTTAAAATTTTTCCGGAAATTTTCAAGCCTCCAAGCCCAGCTCCATCTATCAGCATAAAAGTGCATACAATATAAGGAGCTGTTAGTTCTTATCTTTATTTGATAACTTTTTTAGACCTTTCCAGACGGCTGGACCTTGAGGATGCACATTCACAAAGTATTTTACAAACCGTTTATCATTGGATGAAACTATGGTACTCAAGGTTAACGTAGGTTTAACTGCATTCCTCTCTTTCAGCCATGCATACATCGAAAATCTTCGCATAATTTTTTCCAAATCATGGCAAAAGTATGATGGGAATCCCACAAGACATTCTACTGGATAACCTAAAACGTTTCTTAAGAAATCAATCTTCTTTTTAATGACAGACCTACTCTGGTTTAGAATCATAGGAGCCTGTTTTATCATTTTGATCACACTGTTGTAGTCCAAACCAGCTTCTACCAGGCAATCAAACCTCTCTTGTAATTCATCACCTCTCCCTCGGAACATTTTTAATGCTTTCGCCATCTCCTCAGAGTTCTCAGTATATCCCAGTCTCAGCAAGAAAGTTGTTTTTTCCAAATAATTTCGTGGGTCATGACAGTATACCTGGTCGATGCTCTTCTGTTCCTGTTTTGAAGCCAAACTAATAAGCTTCAATGGATCATCCTTAATGATTTGGCACAAATCAGCTTTTCCAACTTTTAACTCCTTACAAACAGTCTTATGACCTTTCAAGGAATGCATGCTCAGGAGATGCATGTAGTTAGACAAAATGTACGCAACATCATGGTTTCCCATTCCAATAACACACAAAAAACCAATCACTTTCAACAGATTTTTGGCACACTTATGTGACATGATAGAGGGATACTCCACAAAATGAGAATAAATCACATTCATCTCAACACCCAATTTAAGTGATCGACCCAAAAACAAGTACACCTTCCTCCCAAAACCTTCCAATAACAAATTTGGATTTGCCTTAAACAAATTACGCATTTGTTCCTCAGAATATCCCACTTTATGAAGAAAATCCAAGGCATCAAGCATTCTTTTCCAACTATATGTTCTAGAACAAGACAAGTAATTCACCATCCAATCACTTTCAATCCCAATTCTTTTCAACCAATCAAGCAAACCAACAAATTCACAACTCACATCACCAACCAAAAGCAAAGGGCAACAAACAACAAGCTTAATAACACTTGATCTACTCAAACCCAAATTCTCATAAGCTTGTAATTTCGATGACAACAACCCACTAGCATACCCAAAAACCTCTTTTGCTTCCTTATAAATTTTCCCCATTCTATTTCTTGGAATCCCATAATTACACAAAGCATGAAAATTTTCAAGCAACACAGAATCATCAGCCAAAAAAATCATACCATGAGGAAGAACCAAATGCAACTCAGAGAGGCTAATCCCCAAACTCTCAAAAAAGGGTTCAAACTCGTTAATGGGGTTATACCTTAGGAACTTCCTCAACGATCGAGCAACATCATCTTTGACATCAATTTTTGACAACAATGATTCAACAAAACGTGGCGAGTTTTTGCTGATGAACTCGGCGTCTAAGAAGCTGTAGCCCCGAGTTAAATGGAGGTAATCGGTTAGAACATGCTGCACTTGAGTTCGCATGAGGCGAGAGACACGTGTGGCGGAACGTGACGAGGGAACAGAACTGAGAGGAGAAAAAGAAGGAACAGGTGTAGGATGGCAAACGCGAAAGCATCGAACTTTGAGAGAGAAAAAAGATGGGGTTTGGGGTGGAAGGGGTTTTTGAAGCGTTGAAGGGTGGGAAATGAAGAAGCCATTTAGATTCAGCTGCGAAATCATTTGGGAGAAGAAGTTCAGAGTTGCAAAAAACAGCGATATTTTAGAAGTCCACTAAGAAGGCGGTGCCCTGTAAATGTCATCAGGGAATTTCCTTCCACAAACTCACTTTTTTCAAACCATTTTTTAACGTCTCTTCAAATGTTTTTACTGTTACTCGAATATTTAAGAATATACATCCTTTTAATGATTTTGATTCTCTAAAACTATCATATAAAAGACATATATTCACAAGAAACACTGTCATATTTAAGTTAATAAGAATGTTTATAAGTAAGAAATCGAAAATGAGAGAATAAGTCGATCATATTTAAAGGTGATAAGATGACATAATTTGATGTATACAATAATCAATTAACATGAACGCTGAAGTAAGAAAGCAAATCCATTAGCTAAAATGATTCTAAGATTAAATTTTTGAAAAATGATTTTATATATTCTGAAATTAAAATTTTTAAATGATAAAAAAATGTAGTGCGGTTAAAAACAAGTGGTGGGAAAAGTAATTTCCGGGTAATAAAAGAATAAATTTGTGCTTTTCATGAAACTCCGCTCCATTTCCTAAACTGGGCCGGTTCGGGTCACAACGAGTCATCCACAGTGAAAACTAAAAAGTCCATCGAGTCCAAAAGCTTACATCTGATCTCTCTCAACAAACTAACACTAGCGCACATTAGCAATCTCCGCCGTCTAACCCACCGTGTGATTAACGTTAATGGAGTCTCTGTTCGACACGATCAATGTTCGAGACCTTCTCTCGGCCCAAGATCTCTCCGACCCGAATTCCCCTCTCTCGGCGCCGGATCTTCGGCTCCTGATCCAGCGCCTCGAGTCTCATTCCCTTCAGATCCGGTCGCAGGTGCAGTCCTACCTCGTATCGCACCGCAACGACTTTGCAAGCCTCTTCTCCCTCTGCAACGACGCCGTTTCGCAGACGCGCCACGTCTCCGATGATGTTTCCGGCATTCTGCGCCTTCTTTCCGACCGTCCGATCGACGTGGAAGTACGCGAGGTGGTGGAGGAGATGAAGGCGAAGAAGGAGGAATTGAAGGTGAAGAGGGAGCTGTTAGGGTTGGTTGGGACCGTTGTAGCACTGAACCAGAGGTTGGAGAGCGTGAGGGAAGCGTTGAGCAGTGGAAGGTTCCAATTCGCTGCTCAAGGGTTGAAGGAGTTGAAGGCGGTGTTGAGGGTCGGTGATGAGGATGATAGGGAGCCTTTGGTGTATGGCTTGTTGAGGAAAGAGTGGTCTCATTGCTTTGAAGAGGTATTACTTTGCTTTGTTGCTGTTGTTTGTGGTTTGATGCGTTAAGTTTATATTTATGTGCCAATTGAATTGAAGCCTTTAAGAATGTGGAAAATGAAATAGGTATTGGTAGGTGATAACTTGAATTGAAGTGCATTGACGCAACTAAGCATGAATGGAGAAAACAAAATGCTTAGTATCCTTATAGATAGGTATTGGTATTGCTGAACTTACTCTTTACCATTGGTCTGGGAGTTCCTGTGAAATCTTTTATGAGGTTTGAATTCAGCCAAGGTTATTTTTCCAATAATAATAATAATAAGATGATGATGATGATGAACTGTGTTGGGAACACTTAATGCATTTCCCTAGATGATAAGCTTTATTTGCTTTAAAGACGATGATTGAATTATATCTTCATTTACTCTTTGACAACTTAATCAATTCATACGATTTGTGCAATAGTAATGATGATTGGCTAGCTTGTGATTTATATTGAGTTTGTGATTGTTTTTAGAGGAATTCGATTTGGGTTTGTAGATTCAAGAAGTTCTTGTGAAGTTTATGGAAAGGGCTGTACGATTTGATGGGGACTTGAATCAAGTTGAAGTCAAATATCATTTAAAAGTTGATACTATGAATGGAATTCTGTTACAAACAGTTATTGAGGCAATGGATGTAAGTTAACTCATTTCTTTTTTACACTCTGAAACATTCAATTCTATTCCTGTTGTGATGTTGTAAATTTTGAAATTGATGAGATCAGTTATATGCATTTGTTCCTCTTTAAAATATGGCATGTTTTAGGAGGTTGGTATTCTTGAGTATGGGCTTGCTAAAGTTGCAGATTTGATGATCAAGCATGCCATCACTCCTTTTGTAAATCGCAGACAACCTCTTTCTTTTTTAGAGGAATTGAATGCAGAATCAGCTGTATTGAGGATAGTTCCATCACCAGATAATAAGGTGAGTGCTCTGTGTCTGCGTCTTACGGGGGTGTCCTTGCTTTTGTGTATTGATTTGATTCTTAGACACCACTCTCAGTTTTTGTTTAGTTTTCTTGAATAAGGTAGGAAGTGTTGTCATTTAACTGCTATTTTGTTCCTGAATATCTGATTTCAATTTGCAGCTTGAATATTTGGATGGGGAGTTTCTCTATTCAGGGATTCTTCTGTTTATCAAATTTATTTACAGAACCATTTGCTTCCAGAACAGTTCTTGGACCCGATGTTTTGGAAGGTTGACATGGCCCAGGATATCAGAACTAATAATATCTAGCTTTCTGTCAAAGGTTTGCCTACAAGCTCTATGCTATCAGAAACTTGATCAAATGAAGATTATGCCCATGCATCATATGTTCTAAACAGTTCTAAGAATATGTATTTGTAAAAGTACTATTTCAACGATTTCACTTGAAATTGGATTGAATGCAGTGTCTAAAAGCCAGAGTGAATTTGATTATTAAAAAGTCTACATTTAGACACTCAAGCCTCAAGATGTCTGATTTTCAGGTTGTCCCAACAGATGCATCAAAACTTCCTGATTTTCAGAAGATCATCAAATGTACATCTGAATTTGAGAGAGCTTTAAAAGAGCTTATGTTCATTTCAGCATCAGATGACAAGGATAACAGGCTGAGCAATTTTGCTGAAAATGTTGAGGTGCACTTTGCATTTAAGAAAAAGACCGAGATCTTGGCTAAAGCTAGAAATCTGCTCCTAGAATGTGACTTCTCCATTCCTCAAGTGAGTTTCCAGACTGGGAAAGTTCTTTTGCTATTATGATCTGTAGTTATTGATGAGGAATGTTGCTGCAGGAGTATACTAGGGATGGTTCTGTTTGGAAGAATGATAGAACTTCTGTCCAGTCATCCAGCCATGTGGTAGATTTGCTTTTCTTATCAGAGAGGTGTTTGGTATCCAAAGCAGCCAAACAATTGATGGAGCTAGTTCATCAGACGCTGCAGGTATGCTATCCAGAATAATGAATGCTTTTCAAGTGACTCTGTTATTTTATTTAAAATTTAAGCTCAGGAATATCATTAATATGCATTTGCTGTTTCAATCTCTTGATTTATACTGGTTTTCACAACCCCAATCGGGATCATGTTATTTTCTATAGAGGACGTTCTCAATATGGTCGTAACAATTTCTTCTTTTTGTTATACAGCTAATAAATTGAAGGGACAATATATAAAATAATAATTTTTTGTTTCAATAGCTTCAACTTTGTTGTACAGCTCATAATTTTATATTTTATTGAAGTTTCATTGCCTAGGCTTAAAATGATTTTATTTCATAACTTGGCAGTGATGTTGAAGTGTGTTGTCTTTTACTTCTTCCTTTTTTCATCTTTCATGTCACAAATACTGTATTGGTAACTGTTTGATTCTTGAACCATATTTGTAAATACTATAAATTTCATTAAGATTTATTTAAATGTTTTCTGTTAATTGGCCTACAATAATACAACAACCAAGCCTTATCTCTAGTTAACCGAATTGGCCTAAAATATATATATATATATATATATATATATATATATATATTAATAATGAAACTGATCTCTATAAATGAAATTTTTGCAGGATGTTTGCCTGTCATCTACAAGAGTTGCTTTGGAATTTTATTATGCAGCTAGAGATGCTTTACTTCTTTATGAAGTAGTTGTCCCTGTCAAGGTTAGTCCATGTGAGGCAGTGGCATACTATTAAAGCCTTATTGCTACTCTTTAGTATTTCTTTCATCAGGGGTTGATTTTGGGGGTGAACTTAATGAAGTAACACAAGTTTATTGCCAACATTAATGAAGGAACCAAGAAGAAAGAATAGAAAGGGGTAAAAAATGAAGGAATTCTGAGAGCAATGCTCCCCTAGCAAGAGAGAATCTCTCTACCCCAAAATATTAATTCAGATTCCAAGATATCCCTCTCCATACAAGCAGTACTCAATATAATAGAATTAGCGCATATTCCTTCCCATTCTCACTAACTAACCTATTACAAATTTTCCTATCTGTCCCTAACTCTTGATTCTATTACAAAATAGTTCTGCCCTCACACATTAAGGCCGAATGGTGTTGGATTAGATCTACTTTGGTAGACCTTTCCCCATCTAGAGGACAGGTCACAATCCCTATCAGTTACCACTGTATTTGAGTGTTTGTTATTGTTGCTTGTGTATGCTTTCAATTTACAGTAATAACTTCTGTTTTTGACTTGTGAAGCTAGAGAGGCAGCTTGAAGGCATCAATCAAGTAGCTGTTATGATGCACAATGACTGTCTTTATCTCTCCCAAGAGATACTTGGGTTTTCATTTGAGGTATGCATACTTGAATTACTAAAGATGAAGAAAATTCACTACGTTTAAATAATTTACTATATTTAATAAAAAAAATTCAGTTATTTTTATTCCTGGTGTCATCTTCATCATGGATTGCTTTAATGTTAGATCATAGCATTTGCTCAAAACATTATTGTGCTTTCTTGAATTTGGGTTACGACCTGATTTAACCCCAAAAATTAGCTTATGTGGTAACAATTGTCTTAATCTTTATAAGTTCTACTTTGATTGTATGTGTAGTCATCGTATGATCTTGATACCCTTTTCACATCTAGAATATAAAAATTATAAGATTGATTTTTTTATATTGTACTGAAGAAGTCATGGGATCAGGTAGATTGCACCAAAAAAATTACAAGGTCAGGTAAATTACATTAGAAAAATCTATAGGGTCAGATTTTTTTTTTTAAAAATAGTCAATGGTAACACCACATTAGATTTATGATAGGCTCTGATATGATATGAGAGTTGGATAAAGATAGGATATATGATAAGTGAAGAATAAACTATTATCCTATCTTATGTTTAATGTATATTAGGATAGTGAAGCAGATAACGTTATATTATGTCATGTTCAATGTTTCTTATAAATAAAAAATAATAGAACAAGAAAAATTAACATAAATTTTTATTTAACTTTTTGACTTTTCAATATATATATATATTTATTTATTTATTTTAATGTATATATAATATCATGATTTGGATATTAAATTATAATAATTTTCTTCACTTTTTGTACAATTAAAATTTAATATTTGGTACTAAATTATAATTAAAACATAAATTATAAAAAATGTTCATATGATATCATTTTATATACTGGCTTCTATTTTCTGGGCTCATGCGTCTGGATACTCGTCTCAGTATCGAACAGACTTTCCAAGTTCCATGAAGGAGCATGCTGTGTTTGTTGATTTGGCTCCAAGGTTTCAGCTTTTGGCAGAAGAAATACTGCAGAGACAAGTTCACCTTGTTATATATAATTTGAAGGAGGTACTGTCCTTATTAAAATGCTTGCAGCATCTAGAGATATGTCACTTTATGGTTGATCCTTACCCATATTTGTCCTTGTTTTGTAGGTTATAGATGGTGCTGATGGATTTCAGAATACTCATCAGATGCAACAATTTGAGTCAGCTAAATTCAGCATTGACCAGGTAATTTGATTGTCAATATAATGTGTGTACAATTGAACATTACCGTTTCTTATCTCATTTTCTCATGGTTTATTTCCTCGTTTCTTATTTGCTGTGTGCAAGCTACAGTGTTTTCTTTTTCTTTTTCTTTTTTTTTTTGGGGGGGGGGGGGGGAGAGAGGATTTGTTACAATAGGTTACTACTGGTACTGGTTAATGTCCTTTTATTTTCATCAATGACATGAAACTAGGTGTACTTGATCAGGTTGTTTTCATACTGGAAAAGGTGCGTATCATATGGGAGCCACTTTTGCTGCCTACAACTTGCAGAAAATGCATGTGCACAGTCTTAGAGTCAGTTTTCTCAAGAATTGCAAGAGATATACTTCTATTGGATGACATAGCTGCGGAGGAGACTTTACAGGTAGAGTCTATATCATATTTAACTAATTAATGCTTGTAATTGTGCCATTGTTTTTCAGAAGTTGGTCTAATGCATTCCACTCATATTTCCAGCTACAAAGACTTGTTCATTTAATGCTAGAAAACGTATCATCTTTACTTGAGTCCTTGGCCGCTGAGGATCAGAATTCACTTGAGTTCTCTCCGGAGACTCTTGAAGATTTTATCCCATCTTTACGTAAAATCCGCAAACTATCAGGCATGTTGTGGCATATTCTTAATTATCTTTTTGGAAACTGTTGGTTGGATTATCATTAGTCATCCATTGACAACTGCTCTCTTTCTTTTATGTGCCTCAGAATTGTTAGATATGCCTTTAAAATTCATTACAGCTTCTTGGGAGAATAAAGAATTGCTCTCTTGTGGCTTTACAATAACTGAGGTATTCTTGATTATTGATGACCTTATTTTTCAGGGCAATATATTTTGTTTCCTTGATTTCTGTTAATTGTCTCAAAACATTGCCTTTGGATTGTGATTTTACAACATTGACTTATGTTAATATATTATGCATCTCTTCCACAAACACATTAATTATAAGGAAGTCTTCAATCTGACTTTCTCTTTCCAACTATTCTTACAATGTCCTAATCATTTCCAACTAAAGTTTCAATTGTTTTTACACTTAGAATGTCAAAATGTAGAATGCCAAATGAAGCTTTTGGTTCCGAATTAAACTTTTCCTTTTGTTTTAACAAAGCTTCTCTAAAGTGAGCTTATCTTTAAAGGAAGAGTATATCCACCTGTTATGTGATTTAAGTGTATCATGAGTCATTCTCATTTTAGATTAGCTTTTCCCTTTTGTTTCACCCAGAGTTTCACTTGTATGTACTTAACGGGGGACCCACTACTACCAATTGCTTTCGTTTTTTTTATTTCAATTATATATATTTTTATTAATTTTTCTTTCCAAATTAAATGCTCCTCATTTCAAAGAAAAAAGGTTTTGTATATCAAACTGCTACTGCTACTGCAAAAAGGACTGTTTGTGTGGGTTAATACTTATGATTAATCAGTATTTTATGTTTTATGAAAATTTAACGTTACATGCCCTGATCTAATATCTCTTCCTTTACAGTCTTATTTTTCATGTTATGCAAAATTTAAAAAACTGGAACCATATGTGATGAGGTTTATAGGCGTGCGTTCTCTACCACTTATTTTTGTTGACCTCTTTGCAGGTGGAAGATTTCATAAAAGCTATATTTACAGACTCACCTTTAAGAAAAGATTGTTTATGGAGGATACAAAATGCGAGCTTTTAGGATTCATCTAAATTCCTATGAAATCTACGAGGGTCAAAGAACATACTGGAGTTTGAGATTAGAAATTCAGAGATGTTACTCCAAAGCAAAAGCGAGTTTGAGCTGCTGCTCCAAATATTTCAGTAGCAGAAAGTAAGTGCGGCTTTGACGCGGATTCACACTGATAAATTTTCCAATTGGGGGAGCCTTCCCCATGTAAGATTTTGTTGACGTAATTCCATGCTTAGCACTTTGAATTTATAGTCTTCCTCCCGTTAAAGCAAAAACTTTGGGAGGGAGTGTTGTGCAGACTTGAGTCTAGTTTTCATTGTAGAGCATTCTAAACTGTTGCAAATTAATAGGAAACACGAGATATGAATTTAATGGTAGATGTATACATGTAATGCTACTACTACAAGGCGGATTTTCAGTGAGACAATTTTTAGATGTAGATGAGCAATTGTGGTTCAAATGTTGGAAATAGCATTTTTCCATTGGATCCGCCCAACTGAGAGTTATTTTTTGCTCTTGCAATCTTCGATCTTAAATGCATACCTATAATTTTTGGTAGATTTAAATTTAAACTTAATCCAGAGGTCTCTAAATTACTCGTCTATAAACTTGCTATTATTTATATATTAATATGAACACACCAATCACAGTTCACGTGGTGTTGCAACAAGCGAAGAGTTATTAGAGATGTATATCCTAGCGAAGTCGTCTAAACTTAAGACATGCCTTTGGTTAAAAGTAAATAAGAACAAATTTTTATTTTAAAAACCAAATTCAACATATCTTAAACACATTCGTTTATACTTTTAATTCTCTTGATATAATCCAACATCTTTAATTAGTTTAAAGTTTATATTTTTAATAATTATATTTTAAGATTTCGTCACTGAGAAGTTGTTAAGAGTCTTAAAAAAGAATAATTTTTATTTACTTTAAATAAATATATTTAATTTTTTAAAATATAAAATGTATAATTTGATATATTAACATAAAAGCAATGTATTAATTTATAATTATTATCTTAAATAATATATAATTCTCTTAATTTAAAATTTAAATTATGCATTTCTCTTTTTTTTTTAAAAAAAATTCAATCATATCTTTCATAAACAATATTTTGTATAACATAATATATTTACACTGAGATTATTCATTTTAAAATATATCTTAATTTTAACTTTTTATTCTTTAATTAATAAATTTAGTTATATATGATGTTAAAATTAATATATTATGCTAACAAAGTAGATTAACCTAATCTTATCCGTATAATAACAAAATTTGATCAAGTCAAATTTAAGTTCAAATAATTGACCTTATCAAATTTTCAGGCCGGGAGACAAAAATAATCCCATCTCATGAACACCTTAATTAACACGTAGTAATGAACTAAAAACTTGATTTAAAACTATTTATATCAAGAGGAAACGACCAAAAGAACTAGATCTGAATGGATCACCCAGTAAATAAGTTCGGGAAGAAGGATCAATGTCCCGTAGTTCTTAGTGTAGAACGACTGTCATCTGAATGTTTTCATTAATAGGGAAAAGAAACGTTGGAACATGCTAACATTTTCCTGAGATATGTACCACGATGCTCCTCAAAAGATCACTCATCACTAGAATGTTCTTTAACATGGAAAAACACAACATTGAGCACAACATCATGAGAAACATGTTTTCCTTTGACACCGTAGATTAACATTGCCTTCTGTAACTTAAAAATTGGCAGGGACTTGAACCTTTAATTTTGTATAACTTCCTTCTTGATTTTATCATATCTGATCCTTGCTTGAAGCATCATCCCCCATTAGTTCTTCAAGAGAAAATTCATCCTCCTCAATTATTTCTCCATCTTTCCCATCCCATGGTTCTGTCTTCACGATGGCCGGAGCGCCTTGCAGGGGCAAATTCCCTTTGCCTCCACGTCCAGCTTCTTTCACAAATTCTCTGAAGAAAACAAACCATGAATATTCAAGTACTTGTTCATTTCAGTATTGTGCTGTTTACTATCAAGCATAAAATTAGAAGAACAAACTTACATAATATGGTCGAGTTCAAAAGCGCTCTTGAGAGGAGCATAGACAGCTTTCTTCAGGTTCAGTGCCACTAAAGCTGGATAACCATACCCACCAACACCTACATGTTTCTCAAGATCTGGCTGTTTTCCTGCAGCTACCCAGACATAGCTGTCCAAAACACAAAATTCAACGTAGAATTTGTCAGCAAAGATTAATTTAAATATGTATATAAAATCATTTGCAACATACATGGAATCAACAAACAATTTTAGACAAGGGGTAAACTTGCAAAGTGATATTAAAATATGGAATCTAAAAAGTTTTTTTTTTTTTTTCCACTTGCCTGTATGGGCTCCTTTTAAACTTCTCCACAACTGATAATAATTGCTGAAGATATCTGTTTCTACCCTCAGCCTTCGAATCCAAAATGTCAGGAAGGAAGGCAACAAAGCAGATTGCGGCAGAACCACATTTCTCTTCCATAATATCCTACAGAGAAGGCATATGTTAATTATCATATATCCTCTCTTTTAAACTCATATCCTCCCTTTTAAACTAATGCACAACCAAGAACAGTTGGCAGGAGAGCAAACACTTACTGGACTATGTAGCTCTGTCACTTCTGGAGGAGCTACATTTGTTTCCAGCTGCTCTAATGCAAATGATTCAATAGATGAGGCAGTTCTAGCGCCCTCATAAGGAATAGGACTATCTTTATCAGCACCAAATACCAAGATTGTTGGGAATCCTTGAACTTTGAACCTGCTCATTAGAGACTGGTAACAAATATCCTTTCAGAATAATATAAACTGAAGAACATAACAAAAAAATTACATAATGGAGACTGAATTTTAAGAATAAATAAATTAGAAAGACACCCAGTTCCTGTCTTGCCTACATCCATAGGAGTTTTGAGTCTGACTAGGTCTGATAAGCTATTAGACATATAAGCTTACCTTTTCAGCATCACAGTCAACGTGGCCCAGTTTAACCTTCCCGTTCAAATTATTGGCTGCTTTCTTCCATTCAGGAGCTAATTTTTTACAATGCCCACACCTTCAGTTATAAAAAGGATAAAAGATGTTATTAGAGCTCACAACTGAAGTAGGAACAGCTGAGGTTCAGTCAAGTAACATAAAAATATCCAAAATTTATTTTTGAAGCATAGGCAACACTTGCCAAGGCGCAAAAAATTCCACAATCCAAAGTTCTTTGCTTTTGAGAACCAATTCATCAAAGTTGCGAGAGTTCAATTCTACTGAAGCACTGGTTTCAGTCTTTTCATTTGATCCACCTGTTGCCTTTCCATTTAATCGGTCCTTCAAAAGAGCCTTTACCTGCACATGCAAATAAAATATAAGCCGGAAATATCTTGAAGTAAACTATTCATTGGGGAAGAAAAACCAACTGTATATTTAGAAACACAGGAAAGAACTTAGCAGTGAGAAAGAAATCTCAAAAATTAACTAGTGCATTACCATGTGATAGCCTGCCAATTATGACTTTTATTTTATTTATTTTGATTACAAAAAAAATTCACTGGCAACAGCACATCAAACATCAGTCAATAAAACATGTAAACCATGAATTATAATACAACACTGAAAGGGGGTGATATATTTTTTTTATTTATATAAATCTATATTTTTTATGGTCAGCATAGTACTGCCTTTTCCCATTACCAAGTTACCACCAAATCCTTTCGGGAAGAAAAAAGTCATAGTAATTTTACTTCCCTTCACAAAAAGAAAAAGGTGTTTCCCTGGCATTCTTATAAAGATAGAAGAACGCTATCCTCCCTCTTAAAATATCATACAGAACTTGTACAACTGAAATACATATTATCAACATTTTCATTAATTGAAAAGAAACTCTTGCAGATTAAACTATACCTATTTGTGCTCAAGCTTACTGGACCAATTTTAGAGAGGATCATAGCAAATCTGAAAGAATAAATGGGTTTCATTCTTGAGGTATCTATCACTCAGCAACAATTTTTAAGTTGAGGTTCGCTATTTGCAACTTCTTGATGCACAACATTTGTATACGTGCCTGTATGGCATCATTGAAGTAGTAATAGGTGTGCAAACGGAAAAGACACCTAATTTATCATAGCTTGACCTACCATGAACTATAGGCTCACTACAAAAACCATGCTAAAAATTAAGAGTAGACACTCAACACCCAAACCCTAATCCCTATACATCCAAATCCTTACACTGCTGAGATTATTTTGTACACTATAAAGTGGTGTACAAAAAGAATTTCCTGTTCAAATTTTTAATCAGATTCTCATCTGCTTTGTAGCCATTCAATTTTTCATAGAAAACAATAAATTTTTGTTTTGTCTGTTACGAAAGTGGACATTTATCTACTTTATCCAAAGACCAACATGACATAAGACATAACCCTTCTCATACATCATCAGACATATTAGACTATGAAACTTTTTGGGCAAAAATGTTAAAACACTCCCACAAGAGATTATGACAAACCTGTTGAAGTGCAAATTCAGCTATTGATTTGACATCTCTGGCGCCTTGGTAATCAATTGGTGCCTTTCCAGGTGCAAACACTTTTATGGTAGGAAATCCTCTAATTCCATATTCCTGTAGGAAATTAAGAAAGAACCATGGATACAAAAATCTAAATGTTTTTTGAAGCTGTAATATAAAGTTATAACAACAAACGAAGAAAACAGCCAAACAAGTAAATCATAAGTCATAACTGAAGAAACCTACAAAGAGTAAATGAATCTCATGCAAATATGACAGATCTTATGAAGAAATAAGAAAAGAAAAAATCTCCAAAGAGATATTCTATCTCATTTAGGTAATATATTCTTCGGTTGCTTTACATACAGAGATAATGGGGCTAGATACAAAAGGGATGAAAAAGTTTATGAATACAATATTTCTAGCATGCTGATATGCCATAAAACAACAAGCGATCCAGAGTGACTTAAGCTATGAGGTCCAATCAATCATATTCTAATTATTTGAAACATTTCCAAGAGTTCAGTTGATTATTATAAATAACAAAGTCATGTTTTGCATCATGCTTGATCCACCAAAAAGGAACTTTCAGAATACGTTTTATATAAAAGCTAAGAAAATAATGATGCATCTTTCATATTTCAGAAAGGCTGATTACAAGATGTAAACGACACAAGAAGCATAGCCTTCATTTAGAGGATTTCATTAAATATAAAATTCCAACATTAATGAAGAAATGAACAACAAAAAACCTGAGCCAAAGACTGGTGTGCATCAGCATCAAGTGCTGCCACAGTGACCACACCCTTCAATACAGTAGCTGCTTTCTCCCATATAGGAGTTAGAGCCTGACAGTGTCCACACCATGGTGCAAAGAATTCAACAAGAACAACTCCATTCGAATTCAAAACCTGTCAAGCACGTTGATTTAAGCCATCATAACTACAATCACAAAATATCATATCACAAGAACGAAACACAAACGAATATGCAAATCCCCAGATGGTTTTCAAGTAAGAAGATGCAGAGTTTGACGCTTTTACGCAAGACCCATTTGCAAAGTGTAGCAAAAACAGTGATATCACAAAATGGGACAATGAGAAAATGGTTAAAAATTTAAACTTAATTCACCTTGGACTTGAAGTTAGAGGGATTGAGCTGAAGCACAGGTGAAGATGATCCATAGAGTGCGTAAGAAAGAGGAAGGTTGAAGAAGAATAGGAAGAGAGGAAAAGCAACAAAAATTAGGGTTCGAAATTGAGACTTTGACATTCTCTTTCACTCACTCTTCTGCACTCTGAATCTACGCAGGGAAGAGAGACTTCTGTAGAGGACTCTCGCTGCTACGTGTGTTACCCAATCATAAATTTCCACGTCATGCTCCCCGGTTTATAAATATTTCTTATTTCAATTTCAAAATCATTCCCTAGTCTATAGAATTTTAACTTTAAATCATTTACATATCTTATAGTTTTTCTTTCTATTTTTTTTTAAATTTAAAAAAACTTGATTTTAAGCATAATTGTTAAAAAAAATTTCTTGTTAAACAATGTTATATTTAATTTTAGTATTATATTTTTATCATGATTTTTAGTAAAAATATTTATTAATTCTTTAATTGTTATCTTACAAGTAATGCTTAACAAATTGATTATAATTTTAAAAATTAATTTAACAATTTACTTCTTTTCTAAAATTATTGCTTTCTATAAATATACGGCAGTAAATTATATCTACCTAATCCTAAATACAAGAAAGAAGTAGAGATAATAGACTTTAGTTTCATAATAAAATTATTATTAATTATTTTAATTTTATTAAATTAATTAATTTAAATTTATGACAACCACTGTTAATTTATTCTCTTAATATGACAATCATAAGTTAATTTGGTGTCTAGAATTGGGGATCTAATTTTCTAATGTAGAGAATAAAAATGACTAATAATAGAAAGGTAGTTACTGATTTCAATAACTAATAACTAATAGTATAATTTGATTTTACTGAAAGTTCTATCCTTAAAATAAATTTTAAAATAAAAAATATATATTCTTGTTTAAAAGTGTCATATTTTAAAATATTAATATATTTCTATCATGATTTTTAATAAAAAATTATTTATTAATTCTTTTACTATTATCAATAAACAATTATATTTTTAAGAAATAATTTAATAATTTACTTCATCCTTTATTTTTATAAATACATGACATCCTACCTAATCTTTGATATAAGAAAGAAGCAAAGATAATAGACTTTAGCCTCGTAACCAAATTGAAACACATAACAAATTTAGAATTTTGCTTCAAAACTTCCATTTAATTTAAGCCAGTTTCTTATGGATATATAGTTTTAACTTTCTTCTTATGACTTCCCAACTTTTATAGTGTTTGGAGGGTGCTTGAAAAGAAGTGTTAAGTGAAATGCAGTTGAATAATTTTTTTTGGTAAGGAATCCATATTCCTTCTAAATCAACTTTTGGATTTTCATTTCAAATTCACACTATGTGCTTTGTTCGTCAGAAGTTCTCCTGGTCAAGGAGCTTACTATCCTCTTTACATTGTCTAAAACTATGGTTGAATAATCATTAATCACCATAGATCTTATATGTAGCTCTACTAGACAGCTTTAGCAACAGGTTCCTTCAATACTCTCCTCAATATTCACTAGGTTGTTTCATACAATCAGATCCTAAGTAACTAACATTGTTAGAATAAAACTTGTGACCTCGTTTCTACACTACACATTCAATGTTTGTCGACTGCTAAACTAATCCATTGGGTTTAACAGCTAGTATTTTTTATAACTTAATAGAAATAAATACTATCATGTATGAATAAAAAGAGCATTAATCAATGAAGTAGCATTAGGTGTACTAGAGCCTTTGTCTGTACAAGGTGATGTTCTAGGTGAGCAGATTAACTTGTCACAAGATTCCAAGCAATAATTCAATAGATTTTGATGTTCCTAACTTCAATTATTTGCTCTAGTTGATCTCATTAGTCATTATATTTTAATCTCATAAGTTCACGAACCTCTAAAATTTCAAGATTTTGGAGTCTTGTATGCCACGTGGACCCTTACTATACACTTCAAGTCAGTTAGCTTTCTCTATGTATATATCTTCTAAATATCATGGATCTAGCTCTTCGTCAATGGCAAGTCCTGTTGGTTGAAAAATTCTTTGTAATTTTTCATACTCAATGTTTCATTCACATTTTTCAGAGTATGCAATTTTAAAATTTTAATATTCGTATGCATGAGTAGTCCAAGTTAGTGCGAAAACACTACGGTACAATTTAGAGGATAAAGTGCAATTTTGACGTTATTATTATTATTATTATATAGATGTATTTTAGTCATGATTGTTAAACTCTCAATTTAACTCGTAAATTCATACGAGTTTATGATCTAAGATAATAATAAAAAATAATAATAATAAACTGCTCAAATTACATGTAAATTCGTCTTTGGATAAACTCGGGCAAACCCGTGAGTTTACGTACGATTTTGCAAGTTTAACTAAACAAAGGCAAAATCACTTTTTTTTCTCATCAAAATAGCACCACTTTTCTTCCCTCTTCGCAATTTATGAAACATCCCATTATCATTATATAATTATTGCACCAAAATCACATTATCATTACATAATTTGGCTATTTAAGTATGATTTTTTCACCAAAATAACACCATTTGGAATGACAACACCACTTTTCTTCCCTCTCTGCAAGTTGTGAAACATCACATTTATAATTATGGCACTAAAATCACATTATCATTATATGATTTGACTATTTAAGTATGATTTTAACTTTATTATTAAACTTTATTTCATTATTATGAGTTTTTAAATATTATTTTTACATAAAATAAACTCTTACGAGTTTATGATTCGAGTTTAGAACACTCTACGAGTTTACATAAATTCTCGAATTTAACAATCTTGATTTTCATTATAATCTTAATCTTTAATTAGCTGTATGTTATATTTTAAAGTGTACCCTTTACTCTAAGATAAAATGGATTAATTGTTTCTGTAAAAGATAGGCTTGCTGATTGCGTGAAATATCATCATTTATTTATCACACAAATCAAATCTTTGTTACTCATTGTTTACCTTATCTACTTCTACTATGAGAGTGTTTGCAACATTGAATAACTTCTTTCTCAATAAGAACATCATTAAGATTTATAGTTTCTTCTAGTAATTTGTCATTCTTATGATCAAATTCTCTTTCTCTTCTCCAAGCCCGTTAACAAAACTTTTGAACCAGAAATGATATCATGCTTCATGAACACCAAATCCCTCACAATATCAAGTTCTAAGGTCTTCTCTTAAGGGTAGATCCGAATAACTAACATGCAAGACAGAAAACTGTGGATAAGTCTAATTGAATCCATAAACAAAGTGAACTTCCACAAGACTATATATTTAATCAAGAGAAGGCTCATTAGAAGACAGGCTCATCAAATCAATGTTGTTTTGCTAGTATGTATATCTTGAACATAACTGCATGATAGTTAAAGCATGTGCTATATTCAGTAGCAAGGAATTCCTCTGAGGAGTCAATTAAGTGTAATGATGACAGACCAGTATCATGGTATGTTGTAGAATCTTGATGAAATATGGATCAAATTACCATGGATTATATTATCTTTGGTAAACTAATGTGTGTGCTATTCAATTCTGTATCATATACAAGTAATCTCAAAATTTCTGCTAGAAGTATTCTTCAGTGGATATCATTGAAGCCTAAAGAAAGCTATAAGAGGTTCATATACATCCCGCTTAGCATTTTCACCCATAACATAATCTGCATGTGCATAATCATTTCTGTACTGTACTACAAGTTTATCTCTATCATGATCTTTAAGAATCTCTATCAGACGTTGCACATCTTTAACATCAGAAAGTGCATCAGCCCCTCCATAACTCAGGAAGATGGGAAGATCATTTGGAAGCCTTGTCATGTCATATGCTGGAGGAGTGGGTTGTCCATAATGCTTCATATTCTCATCTTGGTTCTCGTAATCAAACATTGATGTAGTTCCTTCTCTGATCACTGTCATATTTGGTGTGTACATGATACTTAAATTAGGAAAATGTTCATGATCGTGGTGCAAGAATGAGAACATGCAAGAATTGACAATTACATTATAGGATACTTACTCTGAGATAGATGGATCATGTTCTTTGTTGCTGTTGACTGAGGCTCATGATCCAAGAAAACATCTACAATCGAAGGGTTAAGGCAGCAATTTGGGCCTGAAAGCATAATAACGTTGTTAATACAGGAAAAGGTCTTAAATATAGAGATTTTTTTGGTGGTTGGAAGGAGGGGATCAGGGGTTTAATAGAAGAATAAGAACATGCATGCAACCTGTGAAAGCGGTCAACAAATTGGTGCAGTCAATGCCTGTGTTATTGCACACATCCTTAAGAAACTTCACAACAGAGCCCCTATTCAAACATGAGAAAATATGAAGTGAAACAAATCATGGTATCATCAGGATTGGTGTCACAAGATAAACTAACTAAGTGAAATGCAATTATTAAAACAAAACCTTCAATTTTTGTCCTCCAAAGTTATACGTGTCACTACATTAATCCTTTAAAAAATTTAGTCATCAAATTAGTCACTCAGAAGTTTAGATAGTCATCATATTAGGTAGATTGTCACTAAATCCTCCAACGATTTAATCTTTTTATCAAATTAATCCCTCAAATATTTAAAATATCATCATATTGGTACCTATGAAGGAATAAAGTAACGATAGGAGAAATCTTTGAGAATTTAATTTGATGACAGATTAAATTTTTGAGAAAAACAAATTTTGGAAGACTAATGCAATGAAACATATAACCTTGGAGGAACAAATTGATAGTTTTCTCAAATATTAATTAAACTTCACATTTCAGGATGGATTCTGGATCTGATTTATTCTACCCAGCAAGAATTTTGAAAAATGTCGAATATTGTCATACAACATAAAAAATATTGAACTATGAGGCAGTAACATTGCACCCTTCTTAGCCATAGTGCAAAGTAATGAATGATAAGAAGAGTTGCTTACCCGCTCATGTTAAATTCAAAGATTCCCAATTTGTACAACGACTGTTAGGGGGAAACACACATTTTCAGTGTCATCCTTTTGAATTTTAACCAACAATTCTTTGTTAGTGAAAGAAAAACATATATAATTGTGACTAATTACCTCTGCAATGAAGTTTTCAGCAGCATTTTTAGCTAGTGGTGAAGTCATCTGACCAACATAAGCAATTGGGCTAAGCAAGGCAGCTGATCTCAACATGTTCAGCAACTGATCTTTAGAAAAAGCAGCCAATGCAATCAAAGTTCCCTACAAAGAATCCAACACTCATCATTCGGCATCACATTGAATTGCAAGACAAAAAGGTGAAGTGTAGCAAGCAAAATTCACCTGTGAGTGACCAACATAGTGCAGTTTCTGTCCAGTTTGATCATGCACATATTGGAATGTTGCTGGAAGATCATATGCAACTAGTTCATCCCATGACCAATTCCAATAATCCTAAACAATGAAACTAACATAAGCAATGTAACCAAATTTCTGACCATAGAAGTGCAGCAACATTTAGCACACAAAACTAACCGAGCTATTAGTAGGTAAAGATGTATGTTGACGGCTATATTTGGTTCCGCGTGAGTTAGCAACCCAAACATCAAACCCATTATCTGCCAAAAGGAATGCAAGAGACTGACTTGAAGGTAGTAACAACCATGTTATACCATCCTGCAACCACAACATTACATTAATTGCCAACATCAACTACAAAAGCCATAGAATGTTACACACTTGTTTACGCTCAGAAACTAATAGCAACCATGAAAAGCCCATGCTGTAGCAGAACTGGTGGCCCTCTTGATCCATCCACTAGAATTCTTGGCATGTTAAGAATGTAACCATCTTGGGTTGTCACCTGAAAATCATTGCATACATACAACAAAAGAGTCAGTATCTTCTCTAAATCTTGCTGATTTGTGATCGGAACAGAAAGAGATGAAAGCATGGTACCTACCAAGTGTTCTTCACAAGTATAGCCTTGTGTCTTCACCATTGATGAGCAAATACCATCTGTGGTGGTTGATGACCATGCAGGAGTAGTGATAAATGGTAACAATTTTCTTCCAGTAGCAAGAGTTAAACCCCAGAAGAGAATCACAAGGACTATTGAGAGTGATGTCTTGGCCATGTTACTGTTTCCTGGTACATCAATCTTCCCAATCCAGACATTATTTATACACGCAGTAAACAGGAATAATAATAATAATAATAGTAAGGTATTCACATGAGGGCTTTTAAACCACCTTTTTTGTCAATAGATTGGACCTAGTGGTTAAACAAAGCATCTGTGGGGTCTACCATGGAGCTACTATATTATATTATAGGGAATTTTGGATTTTGTTGCCACGGTTCTTCAACTTAACAAGAAAATGTGTGGATGGTTTTTGTTTTTCATAGCAGAGGTGACCACTTACCAGACCAATGTGGCACATATAAAAAGCCAAAACCTTTGTCTTGAAGAAAATATTATGTAATAGTTGCTCTAAGTTTTGTCCCACAAACCAAGCCTTGCCTCTAAATATTAAAATTTTAAAATATTTAAGAAAAATATTTTGTTATAATTGAAATACAAATGATTCATTTAAATAAGTATATAATACTGATATTTAAGTTTAAATTTGTAATTAGTATTAAGTTAATATGGGACAGTAAAAATTGAATTGGTGTTGCTCATTCCTTTGGGTAAGGCCAACTTCAAAACACATACTTGTTGAGTTGTTTATCTTGAATTTCTGAAAAGTTACTCTTAGGTTGTTGCAACCATTTCTTGTATAAGGAATGTCTCGTAACTCAAAAAGTGGGTTCTTACATATATTTGATCACTTTTTTTTTTTGGTAAGGAACGGTTGCAGGGCCATTTATTCTCTAATGAGGATTGAGTAGTATTTGTTTAATGAATACCAAGTAACCAATAATTTAAAAAAAATGAAAAAGTTGCGTATATTTACACTAGTCATCACAGTTAATCAAGTTGAAAGTAAGATGAAAGTTTATAGAACATAACACTAAGATTGTGGACGAATTGCCTGTATGACTAGATGTTAGCAATTCAAGTTGGTGAAATGAATTTTTTACTGCTCTTAGTTCAAGTTTAACGTATTATAAATAGATAGATTTTGAGTTTGTTTGTTTGAATTTATTTTTATTTTTTATTTTTTTTGCAGTTAAAACTAAGAATGAAAAAGGAATAATTAAATGAGAGTTAGGGGAAATTAAGAGGCAATAATCACTTAAGATAATGAGGTATTAAGAAATCAAGACTTAAAAATGTCACAGAGAATGTGATTAAGGCATGAGTAGTGCGTGTTTATACAAAATGAAAGAAATGAAGATTTAAGAAATGAGAGTACAGTTAAAAATTTAAGGATTACAAAAGCAAATTTGCTAACATGACAAGAAACAACAAAATGTATAAAATAAGAATATGTACCTTCATTTAAGTTATTTTGAAACAAGAAAAACTAAACTTTCTTGAATGTTTATTTTTGGAGAAAGAATGATTTTCAATGTAGCATTGAAATTGACCCATTTTTACATAAACTTGTAGCATTTCATCCGAGTTAATCGTCCTGATGATCCATTCTTGGTTTTGGAAATTAACATCAAATTAGCTGTAACTTCTCGAATAAAGGATAAAAGATAAAAAAAAAAAATTCATGTATATCGACCGATATAACTAGTCATTGAATTTTATTTAGTTGAAAAGATAATTTTAAATAAAAAGATTTAAAAATGAAAATCTAACAGCTACCAATTTTTTATCACCCTTTTCAAATTAATTTTGGACAAGTTTGAACTGGATGTTTGACTAGTTTTCAATTCTCCCAATCAAACAGAATAATTTGATCTAATTTTCAAAATAATATTTGTAATAGATTAAAGGAAAATATACAGAATAGAGACACAATAGCATGGAGTAAGAAAAATACAAAAAATAGAGACAAAATAGACAAAAATAAAAAGTTAATTATCTTGGTAACAAATCAGAAAAAAAAAATGTGACCGAATAAGTCACTTTTTATGTATAAGTTAATACAATTTTAACTGTCTATTATGCCAAAAAAACAAAAAAAAACAAAAAAACAAAAAAAACAAAACTCCTAACATACATTTTGATTATATAGTCAAGATTAATCCTTTCCCTTTCCACACTTCGCCCCTGAACTGTAAAACATTGATTAATTAATAATAGAAAATATGTTAAAGCGTGTTTAGATAAATATCATGACAATATCCTCCTATTACTCTTTAGAACTTGCTCATTCGTCACGCAACACAAAATTACTCTCCAGACAATTCTAAAATGAATATTTAGAATCAATTAAACAAAATTGAAATTTGAGAGATCCATTTGCCAAACCCCAACTAAAGGAAGGATGTGTATCTCCTCCATCAAAAATTAGCTAATCAAAATGAAACATGAGTTTCTGAAGTGCTCCTCACATGAAGCATGGAAAATTTATGAAGCTAAGGGCGACGAATTACAGGCACATATCAGTGTGCAAATTTTGACTATAATTGGTAATAACCCCATAGCTACTTTGTTTATCTAATTGAATGCCTAATACAGTATATGCATCCATCTCTATCAATACTGGTGTTTATGACTAAAAAGGACCATTTTATAGTAGTATGCTAATGGGATTTTCCAGCAATATGCGTGGTAGATGCATCCTTTATACTTGTTTCTGAAGTTTTGACTGCAGTATCTGGCACTTTGGACCTTGCAAGGGGCCTTCTAAGGAACTGGAATTGCCACCCTCTAGGTTTTATTTTCCCAAGTAATTGCCATCTTCTAGGTTTAATCTGTCCAAGCATTTTCATCTGCTCCTTTCTGAACTTCTTAGTAGTATACCATCTTCCACCTTTCCATCCTAAGCCATATCTGTATATCAGCTGAAGTGAAAACTTAAAACCAAAACGAAATTAAAATGTTTAAATCTATTGATTGCAAATATCCAAAGATAATAAAAGTCAACCTGCAAAACTTGTGAAGCACCTACACATTAAGAGAGGAAACTTGTTCATGTCAAACGTCTACAATACATCAACACCTTGATGCAATACTCGTAGCTCTAATATCTTGTCGGCATGTTTGAACAGATGCCACAGATAACATGGTAATATCTCCTTCTACTTATTAATGCATCTTATGTGCTTTTTAACAGAGGCATCTTGTTCATATCGACACGTACACAAATCCAATATGCAATTAACTAGTAAAATTCAGATGCAAAAATGTTGAGGAATGATCTATATTAGAGAAAACAGGAACTAGAAAAAGAAATGTAATGTTAAAGAGTTTAAGGGACAGAGTGACACCTATAATCCCCTCGCCATTTTCCTCCCACTCCCAAAGCTCTATGTGCAAAACTACACCTGATCTTAACCTTCACCATCTATTGATTATTTTTGCTATCCTCAAAATTTTAGAAACTTGAGATCTTAAAGATAAGAAGGATCAAATTTAATTTCAGGAAACCATGAGCATATGGAGAAAAAAATTGTACTAAGAAAACCGTTGGTGTACACTTTTAATTTTGTCACCCACATTTCTCCTTGCAGTGTATTACCTAGCACACACCACCACTTTGCACCATCAATGCCCCGTGTGAAAACATTTCCCATTACATAAAAAAACAGCCTACGAAAAATCTCAAAATACATAAATTGCTAGGGGGATGTAGACAAGGACAGTCGCAAGCTATAAAAACTTGTTGGATGATGTCATGAATTTCGTTGAAAATTAAACCAAAAGCCAAAACATTTTTCCAGTAAACATCTTCAGCTGAATATGGGGGGCATACATTTACCTATAGGTGCTAAGAAGAAACTGAACATTAAAAATGGCTTTGGGCCAGCAGAATTATATTAGTGTTTTGTTAGAAGGGTAAATTTGATCGCTTAAAAATGTGATTACTATATGTCTAAAATTTAGTTTAATAACAAGCAAAGTTTCACATGATAATTTAATGGATTTGAATCCTCTCCTATGGTTGAGTCACAGGATATGGTCGTTTTGGAGAGAGACACAATTTTTATCAAATAAGGACATACTCTGATTGATTGTAAGACCCACTAATTATATTTAATAAAAAATTTCCTTTTCTCTATAACATGATTAGATCCTGTTACTCAACAGCAGAAGAGAATCTACATCCTAATTTTATCTATTTAAACTTTCTGCAATTTTCTCAAAAGCGCTACTTAGAAAATTGAACCAGCTCATTGGTTAATTGGGAAAACTATGAACTAAGTAACCATAAGTATCAAGCAACCTAATTGAATCGATGTAAAATGTGAGGAAAAAAAGATTCACAGTGAGCAGAAAAAGAGATCAATTGTCAATGGGTTACTCAGGTTATGTAGGACTTTCTGCTATAATAACTTACAGCTATATACAAACTTTTCTATCCAATATTTTGCTTAAGCATTGTAGTTCATTACTAAAACATTTTAATTATACAACAACAACCAAAGCCTTTTTTAACCAACTCTATGGGGTTGGTAACATGCATAAAAAAAAATTTCTTCAATCTTTCATTATAAATAGTAATAACCATGGCAAGCTACAATCCCTTCATGTTTCTGCAACTCAATAAACAAATTTCTAAACCATCAAAATCATATTTTTAATAGTGTTCCAAAACAACAATATCATATCTTAAAACAAATTTCTGCAACACTCTCTCTTTACTTATCGATTGTAGTAATGATATTAGTGCTAAGTAATACAACATCTTGAAACATAATAATCATTATAGATAGATGCAATGGAAAAGATAAGGAGCAATTGTATGGTTGGTAAGTACCCGATAATTAGGGTGGTTCCAGCAGTGGCAACACAGGCCGGAACACTGCAACCTCCGGAACCGACAATGTCTTTGATTTCGGAATGCTCGAGATTGGAATGGTTTTTCATCTGCGGAAACAGAACAGAGCATGTAATATGAGAGAAGTAAAAAGGAGAGAGAGAGAGGGGGGGGGGAATAGGAAAGAGAGACAAGTACAGCATTTTCAATGGATTGAAGCCTTTGATCAACTCTGGATTCATGTAAATGACGCAAGGAATAGCCTGAGAAAGAAGTGTGAATGAGTGAGTGAGTGGATGAGTGTTATGCAGAGAAAGGAAAGAGAGAACGAACCAAAGAAAGCAGTAGCAACGGAAGCAATGGAGGTTCCAACGGTGAACACAACGCGGTGTCTCTCAAACGTATCCTTCGTGGAAAAATAAGTGTCTTGAATGGCAAGCCATGATTTCAGAGATTTTCTTTTAAGGTTCGCCGCAGAAACACAACCTAAGATTGAATTCCTAAGTCGCTGCATACCCTACCGCTAGTGATGGGAAACGCCTTTTACTTGTTTCCCAAACTACTCATCACCCAATTCAACCTTCAAATCGTAATCACGATTACAATTTTAACCATTAATAAGAGAGAGATGCGCAATGCAAACACTTCAATTCAATAGTACAGTTTTGGGCTTCAGCCCCTGTTGATTCTGCACCAAATGAAAATAAAAATCTCAGCTTTAATGGAATTCGTGCTAAATCCTTCTTATACACTTCTTGACTCTCTTTTTTTTCTTGTAATCTAATAGTGTTTTGGGCCCCTTTTCAACTTAGTTGTTATGCCACATATTGGGTCTTTTCTATACAAGAATTAAAATCCTTCAAATATACAATTGATGTTAGTTTAATATTTTAAGACTTTAAAGTGATATTAAATTATTCAGCGAAAAAAAAAGTGATATTAAATTAATCATTTCATTAATTTACTCTTTTAAGAATTAGTTTGTCTTACAAACTTTGATGATCAAATTAATGTTACGCGTATTTTGAGAGAATAAAACCAAAGTTTACTCCGTTGATAACTAATGAATCAATTTTAATAATAAAATAATATTTAACATTTCTTCAAACGTCTAATACATCATAAATGCTTAAAATTAATATGTAAAATATTGAAAGTATGTAAGATATGTGAGAAATAACTTAAAAGGAAAATTCTGTAAACATATCAACTATTTATTTTATTTTGTTTTCTTTGGTCCAAATATTAACTATTGATTTGAGTAGTCTGTTTGTATACACACGAAACCCAGAATGAGGTAGCGTTCAAAAAAGAGAAGAAAAAGTGAGTTAAATAAAATTTTAGAAATGTCCTTAAAAATAACTTTTTGACAAACCCCTTTCATAAGAACTAACTCGAAAATTTTTTCATTTTAAATAAAAATAACCCCAACAAAATTATGCTAAACATTACCTTAAATGACAGCAAAGACGGTAGTTTCGTCTGATGATTTTGCAATATTCTTCAAGCAACAATCAAATGTTTAAACTTGAGCATATTAAAATAAAAACAGGTGCAATGTATTAAAATAAGTAAACATTTTTGGTCCCTAACAAAGAAAAAAGGATTTAGTTTTGCAGAAAGTTATTTTGAAAAACATGCTGATTTCTCTAATCCACATGTTTATTGCTCATAACATGGGATATGAATGCTTGTTTGAAACTATTATGAGGGTAGCAAACAAACAATAGGTGACCAAATATACATTAAAACCAATACCTAACTACAAGGTATATTAACATCAGTCTCATATTTTAACAAAGCGAACATCACTCTGTCCAAAGGCTGTTCCACACGCAGGACATTTGCGGTGACGAAGCTCTAGATTCCTTTGTATGCATGGATTGCAGAACAGATGATAGCACTTGACAATCACAACCTGCCAAACACAAATATCAAACTCTTAGGAGTGTTGCTGTTGCAATATATATTATTTGAGGCTCTAGAGAAATGCAATGCAAGTCCAAGAAAATATGACAAATCAGCTGTGTAAATTTTCCTTCTTAAAACAATCTTGATACTTGAAACAAGTCAATTCAACTACAATGAAAGCAAGAACTGTAGATTGATCAGTAGACATGTCATTACCTCCTTTGGACGATCAGTACAGACAGTACACTTGATCATGTTCTTGCAAATCCTTATTTCATTTTCGAGTTTCTGTATTGTGGTTTCTCCATTTTCAGAAGTCATCTCAGCAATTTTGCTGTTTAATTCACTGAGTTCTGCCTCAAGCTTCTTCCGCGAGCTCCTGCATGACATAAAAGGTTCAGTATGAGTTGAACCACTTTAGTGTGTTGTTCATACAAGATGATAATCATTCCCAACAAGCCAAGCATCTATCAAATGCGTCAAATTAACACAGATTTGTTGTGTAGTGCAAACATTGCGCCAACTTTAATCCAGACACAGCATTAGAGATAGCACATTCATAAACCACACTTGCTTTTCACCTAATTGAGAGAGATAAACTGCTCTCAAAAAGATGTATTATTTTGAATTTTTTTATAACATGTTTACTAAAATACACCATTTAAAGTCTACATGTTTAGCCAAACTTTTAGGAGATCTTTTTTACTTATTTATTTATTTTTTTGGGGGGAATATATTTTGAGCTATAAAATATTTAAGTGCAATTTCATGCAAACAACATAACCAACGAAACTAAGCCTGTCCCAGAAGCAAACCATATGACAAGACTCTTGAACTCTGAGACTACTTCAGTGATAAATTTGTTATTCAACCTCTAAACAACATTACTAATTCATTGAATCATTGATTTCATAATTCATAATCCTTGGGATTTTGAGTTTCTAGGATCATCATTAGAATTAAAATTGCATCCGCAAGTTGCTTAGTATTGAGGTAAAAACTTTTGTCTAAAGTTTATCCTGGATCCAGACTAGATGTGTGACCTTATAAAGAAAAATACCTTTCACTATCCAATTCCATTTGAATAGCTTCCGTCTCGTTCTGAATTTGGTCGCATTCTTTCTCTGAAGAGGAAACAGCTGACTTGAGCCACTTCAACTCCTTCTCAGCATCAGCCAACTCCCACTTTGCAAATTCCAGGGTGACTACAAGGTGTTTTTCTTCTTGATTACATTTAATGCCTTCCGATAGAATAGCTTTCATCTGCTGGATTCAAATTATTGGTTACAACAGTAAGCAGAAGTTGCTTCAAATTTATTCAGCATAATATTGAAATAATTAGAAAATAAATAAGTTGGAAGCCAGGGGGAGAGGGATCATGCAGCAGGGGAAGTTGGACCTGCTCTTCATAGTGTGCAATCCTCATCTTTGAATTTTCTATCGAAGCATTAATTTGTTGAAGTTGCTTAGCTAAGGCTTGCTTCTCAGACAGTAAAGTGTTATGTGCCTGTTTTGTCTTCACACTTTCTGATACAAGCTGCAATAAGATTGCAATATTATTATAAAAGAGTCTTGCTAAACAAAATTGGAACTATTTAAGAGCAAATACACCAATTTTTAGCAAATAGCACAATTTTCAGTGCATATTAAGTTCCTATTTATAGTGAGATTTTGTCCTCGCCAAAATCAATTCTACAGCAAAAATTCATGGTGGCTGAGAAAATTGATTTGTCTAGGTATTTTTGCTAAAATCAATTTCCACAAATTTCTAGTAGGATTCAGTATAATCTATAGAATGAGAAATCCTCTCTAACAATGACATCTATAAAATGATTTTTCTATACATTAACCAGATATGTTAATATGTTCACAATCAATTCATGCATAACTAACCAGTTCTCCAAATTAATGACATACATTTAAAAGTATATGTTCAAAATTTAATATATCAACTACAATGTTGAAGCATATATTTTTCATCAACCAGATTTGAAAAAGCCTGGGAAATAACCTAAGCATTACTGGAGTAGTGCATCAAAAAATGGTGAAGATCAAAGTAAGGCAGCATTTACTAAAAATAAATATTAGACATACCTTAATATTGTAGTCATCCCTCTCAGCCACCTGCTGCAACAGATGTTGATTCTGTGTCTGCATATCTTCATATGCTTGACCAATAGTCTGCAGGAAGGCAATCAATTATATTACAAGAAAAGAGTTAAGAGTATACTGGTCACCAACTTATTGTTGTTCCTCTAATATGAAAGGGAAGAAAAACTTGGATAGCATGCCTCAATTTCAGATATATATGCCTCTGACTCAGCATCTTTAACTTTAACAGCCTCAGTCAGCTCCAAAATATCCCTGAATACGGACAGATAAAACATTGGAGATGGCATATATCAATAGATCAAAAGACAATGCCAGTTTGGACAATCATCTAGTCCATCACATGAAGACAATCAATATAAAGAAAGATGCTAAACAAGGGAGAGGGGGGCATTTCAGTACTATCTGACAAAGTAATATAAGTGAAATGTACTGAAATCACAGTATCAACAAAAGATAAAACGAAAAAACAAGAACTCTTTTACATTTATTTTATTTAGATTGCATACATGTTTCAGAAGCAATTTCTGTTTTTTAATTAAAACTGTATGTTAAAGATGTAAAAGACTAAAAGTATTAAACCATTTACATATCTTCATTTAACAACTTAAGCTTTTAGGCAATTGGTTTCTGATATGGTATCAGAGCCTCCTTGTCCAAGTGATCCAAAGTCTGATCTTTGCAGCCGCCATTTTTTAAAATAAAAATAAATTCCATCCCAAGGTAAGGTGGACCCGTATATTGTCCACATTATCAAGTTTTTCAGATAGTTGATTCATGAAGTATACAATGTCCATGTTTAATGATTTTTCCCCAACAAAATGCTAAAAGCTTTTGCAATTTATATATGATTACAGAAAATGTCAACCATGTTTATAATGTAAGTTATTTATACTTATGTTGAGAGTTGCTCTCTAAAAATTTTTAAAATATTTATTGCACCATAAATTTATGTTAACAGTTAGCTCAATCAAAGCCTTAGTCCTCGACAATTTTCCATCCTCCTTGTATTCCAACTGCAATACATTTTCTCATTTTTAAAGGCATCAGCGCAACTACAACTCTGGCTTTTGCCAAATAACATGGGGCATATATTTTTCCAAATATTCCAGGCAAACTAATGGTACTTATGAAATACATAATAAATATCATTTCACTTCAGAAAATGCACATCTCAAATTCATTCCATTATACAAACGATAATGGGGCATTTGCAAATTAGCCACACACATTCATATAAACTTTACCCTTCTATCTTCCACTCTTCACCAGAAACATATCCCCCAAACAAACAAACACCATTCAAAAGGGAAGAAAAAGCAATAGACACTACACAAGTTTGTCAATGAAGCAAAACCATATCCAATGTAGAAGTACACGTAAACACCAACCTCTCAGATGCATCCAGCTTGGCCCTCAAGTCCTCTATTTCAGCTTTTGCAGTAGAAAGCCTTTGTTCACAAGCAGTTTCAGCTTCATTAGCAGCTTTTACTCTCAACTCTAGACTATGTTCATCTAAAGCATTTTTCAGTAATTCAGCTTGAGTGTGAGCTTTACTTTCAGATTCTCTAACTTCTGAATATCTGAAATCCAAGTTTTATAACATATCAAGATTGAAACATCCAAGTATACAGACAAGAACAGATTTTTATTTTTTTTTCGAATGCAAAATAAATTCTAGTCAGATTTTTTAACAGTAAAACCTTAAAAGTTGATCCATGAATGGAAACAAATGTCCCCACACCTTTCCTTGTCCAAAGTGTTATAGACAACACCAAAAAAAAAAATGTAAATATCAGAAATCAACATATTTGAAACAAGCCTTTGTCATCCACCAAAGGAGAATAGATTAGAACATGGAAAAAAAAAAAAAGATTTGTGAACAAAAGTTCAGGAACCATTTGAGGACAGAATGTGAGGCTTCCTACAATCAAAGATCTTTGAAAAAATGAATATAAAAGAAACAACGGAACCCTGCATGGCATTAAAATGAGAAAGGGGTACACAAGCCAAAGACAAAAGACAATGCAAGAAACTACAAACAAAGGAACTTGCCTCACCCAGAATCCTCTAAAACTTGAATATGGGAGATCAGGGACCATCAGCAGCTTCAAACATAAACACAGGAAGAAAGGAGGTATAGTATACCCCAAAAACATGCAGGGACTAGGATGATATCATATGCATTCTGTTAAGGAAGTAATTTTATCATCTTTTACCAAATAGGTTTTTCCAACTAGCTATGCTATGACATGAATTACCCCATAAAATTCATGTTATCACTTAAACTCACAGCACAAAAATAATAAGTACAAAAATCACCACATATATCAGCATATACTTCAAATTAATTTTATCCCATAAATTTAACTACATGAACCTCTTGCCACCACTTTACATTCTCAGATCAACATACCTTTTATCATAATTCTCCTGGCTGTGCATATCCAGAACAAATTCTAATTCCTGATTCTCCTTCTGTAACTTTTCAATCTGCACCAAAACATATTAATCAGTTTTTCAAAAATTAGTTCAGACAATCAAGAAGACCTCTAAAATCACAACAAAAATAATTATTGAGAATCTTAGACAGCAAAGCATACACATATGCATGACGTAAATCAAATACAAAGGAAAACATTTGCAACAATATCTGATTCAGTCACATGCTCCAGATCAGAAAGTAATCAACAAGCAGCACCAAACAAATTTAATCCCAAACAAGAAAACTGAGAAGTGCTACTGTTATACAACGGAAGCATTGAAGAAGAAAATACCTATAGATAAAGAGAGACACAAAGGTAACACAAAGGGAAGACAAGACATACCAATATTTTTGAAGACTTGATTTCCAAAACCTGTTCAGCACATTTGTCGACAAGGCTCTTATGTTCAATTGTCTGCTTCAAAACAAATTAATTAACAAACCTTAAAAGTTAAAACTATGTAATGTGCATAGGCAACAGAAAGAAATTCAGCCTACATGCTCTAGCTGTATGTTCCAAACAACATGACTTCTCATGTCATTAAATTCAAGGAGTTAGTCAACAAAAATATTTCCTGTTTGATCCATAACCACATTTATCACATACTGACCATAGCATTTTATCCAATAACCATGATTTATTACAACAGCAGTGGACATGCTTTTGTTAACTGGCACCAAATAGGAAGCTTATTGTACGCTTTCTATAATTTAGCATGCACACAGAACCATGTCAGTTTAACTAAACAAAGAAATTGATACTTGGAGTTCAATGCCGATAGGAACAATTAACAACTTTGCATTTATTGAATTCAATATAACATTTCATTTTACGTTGTCTACAAGATCAAAAGGGCTTTTACTTGTGAGGCGATAGAGATATATTTCAAACAAAACTTGTGTCTTTTTCAAAACAATCACTTCTTGACAATGTAGAGAACATCAGACTCAAACTAACTAGATAAAATTTTGTGAAAAACCTTTCACAAAGTAGGTGGGAAGAAAAAGGGAAAAGAATATTGGATCCATTTGTGAGAACCTTCGCACTCAATGCAGCTCTCAGTGAATTTGCTTTCTCACGTAAAGAGACAGCCTCATGAGCTGCATCTTTCCATCGCTTCAATTGAGCTTCCATCATCCCCATTTCTTTAGATAAAGCTGAAGCCATAATATGAAACTCAGATTTGATATCTTTTCTCCCTGAAACATTTAACAAAGTAAAGAAACTGAGATCCAATCATATGCATAGTGCACCACAAGTCTAAACACAGAACAAGTAATATGCTGACCAGTGTCCTGGATAGCTTCCTCCATCTTAATTTCAAGATCATTCTTTTCAATAATACACTTCTGCAACTGAAGCTCTAGCTCATCAATTCTATGGTCAGAATTGTCAAGGATATGCCTTGCATTATCAACAGACTCCAATTTCAAATTTAGTTCCTTCTCCCATTTTGTGACATGAACATTGCCAGCCTAAAGTTTCATTTAGAAAAAATTGTAAAAGGGGAAACGAGAAATGTTAAATTAAAAAATTAAAATCAAACTGTCACACAACCACAGGGAAAAAAGGAAATCATTGCTAACCTGCAGAGACTCTACCAACATTTTATATCGGTCCAATTCAGTCATCCAATGTTGAAGTTGATCATTAGCCAAAGAGTATATTCGGGAAGAACGCACATACTTATCATCATTCAGTTCATTCTGGAAATAAACATACAAGAAAATAAACTTTCCATGGAACTCTATACTGAATGCATCTCAACAATTCAAGAAAATATGACCAAACCAATCATAGAAAATTGACAAACCTGAAGATCTTGGAATTGCTTTGTCAAGGTCCGATTATCTTCCCGTGCATCTTGAAGCTCAGAAAGACGATCAGCATCGACTATCTATGACATTAAGCAATGATATATCTTCATTAGATAGAGAAAAGGGACAAAGGAATCACAGAGGGAAAGGAAATCACATGACGAAAACCTTTGCTTCCTCAATTGAATCCTTCAACTCACGCAAACTCATGGTCCTTTCTGCAGGATTTTCAGGAGACAGATTTCCATTCAAAGCATCAGTGTTGGGGGAATTCATCCCTATTGCTTGATCCTTTTGCATTTCCAGATTGACTAGTTTTCTTCTACTCTCTTCAAGTTCAGCCAGGATCTCATCAAGCTCACCTTTGGTATGAGAAGACATTCACAGGTGACAATTATCTCTTCATAAATCTAAGGCGTTACTTCTAATTGTATCTATTTATAATTAATTCTAACCAGACCAATTTTAGTTCCTGTAACTCCACTTGATAATTTTACTAAATTATGGAATTTTTCAGTTGCATAATTACAATTCTCTCCCTACTCAGCAAAGGACCAAAGTACGCTTATCCTCTACTGAGGCTGTTATTACTTTCAAATTATTTTTTAATTTTGCAATAGCTATCAGGGCAAGCCTTGGCATAATGGTATGGTTGCTGCCTTGTGACCTAGGTTCAAATCCTGGAATAAGGCTCTCTACTTGTAGGATTCAAGCTATTTACAGCTCCCCAGACCCCTTATGAAAGTCACCCTTTTTACCATAGCTGTTATGACATTTATATTCATCAATCTTAAAATGTGCGTATAAATTGCTATGGCCTTAATTATAACTACCATTTCATCGCTAGGAAATCCTAAGCTTTCTATCAAATAAAAGAAATTTAGGTTGTACAAAACATGGCCCATTCCTCTAATTTTTCAGATTATTCTAAGATGGTGTTTCGAATAATTTACAACTCAAACCAATTTGATTTGATTCATATATTAATTCTCATGTTCAAAACTCAAAAAATGAGATTCAAATAAAAAAAAATCACATTTGCAACACATTAAAGATGAATTGAACTAGTTGCAGTAAGTAATTTATTTTATTAACCATACTTAGAACAGGTTATATGACTTAACTAATAAAGATAAATATGTTACTAAAGGTATTCCTAACTAAGGGCACTAGGTAAAAAATCAATAATTGAAAGTTTTTATTGAAAATCATAGTAGGACTTCATTGGAAATCATGAACAGATGTGCTGGTAACAGTTTCTCAAAAACCTTTTTTTTATTTGTTAATCAGTGCCTAAGAGCACTTGTTACCATTCTCCATATGCCAATTCCAACAATTAAAGATAAAATTAAATCATACCCACTCAAATCAACCAAATTTGGGCGGATTTCTATTTATACTATGTTAAAATCAAAAGTAAGGGTATTCATGGGTTGAGTTGGGTGAGTTTTGATGTAAAAAGTAACTTGACCTGATCAAAACTTTATGGGTTGGGTTGGTTTTTGAGAAAAAAAATTTCTTCACTTGTACATGATTGATGACCCAATTTCAACATTTCGAAAAATAAATATATCAAAACCAAATGAGAAATCATTCATTTTAAAACATAATATAATATTAATAGTATAATATTCATGCAAAATAAGGAGTTAAAAAAATTATAAAATAAAAAATAAACTTGGACGTTTTATAAATTATAAAGTTAATAGCACACTTAAAGCAATACATAACATTTAAAAATTAAAAGATCAAATCACTCGCCAATCATCAAATTTTCACTTCAAACAAGCTAAGAAAGAATCAAAATAGTGCAAAGTTAATAGCAAAAAGTCCATATACGTTGGGTTATTAAGTCTATTGGGTTAGATTAGATTTTAAGATTACAAATCCGCAACGCAACCCATATTTCATTAAGTTTTAATATTTTTACCTGAATTGACCCATCTACCCAAATCAACCCATTAATTTTTAATTGGGTTGGGTTGGTCGGGTTCATTGGGTCAAACCAATGAACACTCCTAACCAAAAGGATTTCAAAATCAAATCAATTCCAATTTCATAACTTTCAAAAAATCTCCAATTATAAAACATATTAATATCCCAAAATATTTCATTCCAAACACAAACAAATTTTCTTCCATTTTCAATGTTTAAAAACAAAACCAATTTATGCCACACAACACAGCTTATCATCAACTTTAAATGACCATCCACAAGATGAAGTGCTGATCTAATTGAAGTATTGCACATTTACTTCTGCTTCTACTTAGCACCATATTGACTAGACAATAGGTCTCCTAATTTCACTTCAGCTTTATCTTTTAATCATGTGAAATAGTATAGTTCATCTACAAAATGATAAGTGGCAAATGAACATTATATTGAAATAACAAGCTAACCAATCATCAAAGCAACAAAAAATGAACAATGTGCGAAAGATATTCAATGTACAATTTTAGCAGCACAAGATATCCCTAAACTTTAGAGTAAGCCCTCATTTCAATCCTCTAAATATTTTCAAAATTGTCAATTTGTCTCTAGAAAATTATTACGTAAATTCAATTATGGAATGATATTTGTATTTATCAAAACAGCCCAAAAGTTACAGTTTATTGGGTATGGGTTGGGACCAAATTAATGTTAAGTGGTGATCAAAAATCATCTTTCTTACAATTTCAAAGAGTAAATTTTATATTTATTCATATATCATATAATATTACCACATTAACCGAAAAAGATCATTACACACAAGGAAACCTTCCTTTTTTTCAACCATTTAAAAACCAAAGCATACAACAATCAACGTCATTAAAATTCACATTTTTATTCTAAATTTCATAATAACTGTAGTTAAAACAATAGAAAAGGAAACATTTTAGAGACCTGTAAAGCCTTTAATGTCAGATTGATTTTGTAAGCACTCGTTGATATAATTTTGAATACCAACAGTATACTCTCTACATTTTGCATGGAGAGTATCAATCACTTCATGTAAATTATTTGCCTCCTCTTTCGTCATATCATCAATCCTAGACATTTGGATTATAGCATCTGCAAACCCAAGAACAAGACAACAGATCGTGTACGAAAAAGCTGTCAAACATTCTTACATCAATGATATCTAATATGAAAATAACAAATCAAATATTAGTGAAAAGTATATAATTCCATAACTGGATAGCATATCAGATGTTTTTTACCTTCTGACAATAAGTCTCCATCTAAAACCTGAGCTATACTGGCTGTTCTTTCCATCTGATAATCAATAGTATCTTGAAGGAGTTTCAACAACTCCCTTGTAGATGACTGGCGCAAAGTAAGAGCCTCCTGAACATAATTTATGATCTCATCTTGACTGATTCCTTCCATGGAATCTTTCTGGATTAATCTACATAGAAATACATTATCCGCAGGACACAAAGGAAGTGAACCTAGAGAGTAAGTCAAGTCAGTCTTGAGTTTTCTTTATACTGTAAGAAAGAATGTGAAAAAACTACTTGTGTGTGTGTAGTGAAAGTACCTTGTGGATTATCGATATATGTCAAACTTTGCAATGCGTCTTTGCCTCTGCCAGCTCGTATACCCAGAAGAATCATATCATCAACCAACTAGAAAGCAAATAAGAAAATAAAACCAATATGCATATCCTTCACGACTGTAACAAAAAATGCCTTGCTTTCCACCCACCAACCCCTCACAGGGCCACCAGAGCATGCAGTATGTATGGTAGTGTTACTTTCAAAAGAGAAAAATAATAAATCAGAATGCAACGGTGACAAAAACCAGAGCACAATGACAAAGAATAACCTGAATCCAGAGTTGATTCAATCCAATTAACAAGTCCTCGTAAGAATTTTGCCTTTCTTTTAACTCTCTAATTTTTCCTTCAAGATCATGCAAAGCATGCTTTTGGATGTCTATCTTTTGAACAAGCTGCTGATTCTGGAACTGTAAGACTCCTGCATCAGCCTGGAGGGAGCATGATAGTACACCGTTACATAAGTGAAACATGATTAAAAAATCATACGATGAAAAAACCTTGATGCCACACAGAAATACTTGTTATGATGGTACACATGCAACTCAATTCAAAGCTCATAAAAAACCCTTGCCGATTTTCATTATCAAAATATAATCTTTCTTTCAAATGAGGATTCTCAATGACATGCAGACATCCTTTTTCAGAATGATTAAGCACAACAAGTTTCAACCCGAATCCTCCACCATCCAATCAGACACAATTTAATGTAACAATCACAAGACATCAAAATCCATCATTGCCACTCTTCACAGCTCTAGTCAGTAGTGAGTTAGCACTAAGCACAATCAAACTGCCACCCCCTCATCACAAAGATCAAAATTTTACCCACAATTGCACTCCCCCTGAACTAAAGAACCAATTCATTTCGTGCCCACGACACCAAACAGCTCTGAGAACCCAATTACACATCCAATTCAAAGCAAACACCAAAATTCAGAACAAAGACATCAACATAACACAGTAGATCATTGAGAAAGATAAAAGCAGCATACACATATACATGCATACATAACCATGTATTGAATAGAGAGAGAGAGAGAGAAGGGTTACAGTTGGAGAATTGGTGGAATTTCGAGGCATCCGAGGAGAAACAGAGCTGAGATGAGGCCTCTTCCTGTCGGGTTCGTCGTGGTCTGAGTTTTCCATTGCGATTCTGAAATTTGGAACAAAACCCAACACAGCATTAGGAACCCCGACAATCAAAAGATTAAAACTTGAGTTTTCGGAGAAGAAACAAGAAATGGAGTCACACAACACAACACAACACAACACAAAACTCACAGCAAGAGCAAAGCAACTCTCCTACTAGTTTTAGGGTGATGAACACTTTTAAAATCATAACTGTTTCTCCTAAATTTATAAAACTTTTACTTTAATTTTTTATTTTTTAACTTTATTTTTTATTACTTTTTTGTATTAGAAATATCTAAATAAATGTTAGTTTATAAAATTAAAAATGAAAGTAATAATTTTTCAAATTCCAATATTAATAAGTTGACGCTTATAATCTAAAAAAATTAAAATAATAAATATTTGGTGTAATTATTTTATTGCAAAATCAAGTCCAAACTTTAAAAATAAAAAATAATAATAAATTTATTTCCTTTATTCTGCACATAAAATTTATTAATTAAGTAGTTATTTTCATTGATTTAGTTCATTTTCAGCCCTAATTAGACTTTTTTTTTTCCTTACACTGAAATCAAGCTTACATATATAATAATATCGTTAAATACTTTTCCAATGACACTAGAGATTTATACTGTGTTTTTTCCTGAAAAATCCATAAATTAAATGTATTTTCTAAAAGGTATAATTATAGGCAAGTCAATGTCACATTTTTAAAACTAATTACATGCACATTTTTGTATTGTGTTTGTATATTAATATAATGCTACTTGTTTCTATACATTAGATCCATCTCTCATTTATTTTTATTTTTTATTATTATATACTTACATTTTAGACTTTATTTAAAAAAATTTAAAAATAAAATAAATAAAGAATCGGACTGAAAAAATTATTAAAAAAACTCTCAATTTAAAAAAAATAAAAAACATAAATTTATAAGAATTTTAAAATATTTATAAATACTAGTTTTTATAGTTAAAAACTATCAAATAAATATTTAATACATATATATATATATATATATATATATATATATTAACGATAGCTTGATACATAAGGATGAAAATTTTATCTAATATATTCTTAATAGAAAATATTAATCACGAATAGAATAAATAATTAATATAATAAATATTATATATTTTATAATTTTAATATAATAAATATTTTATAAAAATTATTTATGAATGTTCAAACTAAAAACAGAAATAAATAAAACTTGTATTAATATTAATTACGTTGAGAGTTAATAATATCAACGGTAGCTTGATAGATGAGGATGATCATAGAGATATATATTTTGATTTGTCTATGGCATTAAATCCAGCATTTCAATTCTGATGGCCACCATTCCCGTGCCGTACGATTTATAAGCACCGTTATCAATTCCTATTTTAGGGATATCTTTAATTAAGGAAAAACTCTCCTCACACCTTCAACTCTCTCCATAGGTCACAATTTTAATATCCATACTTATTATTCGAGGGTTTTTATATTTTAAAGTTATTTTAATTTTTATTAATTTGAATTGAGTTATTTAAAATTCTTTTGAGAGATAAATTTTTCTCTCTGTCTATTTATGTGTGTGAGAGAACATGGATCAATTTATATTGCATTACACTTACTCTTATATAATTTAATAGTTTTTTATTAGATATTTTATTGTTAAAACTTATCAGTTCATATCATACATACAAATTATGTTTAGAAAGTTTTATATTATTTAAAATTATCTCATTTCATTTTTTTTGGAGGAATATCTTATTTCTTATTAATGTATATCAAAATTTAAATATTTAATATTAAAATAAACATTTAATTATACTTTTATTTTTTGTTTAATTTTAAAAAAGCAACAAAAATAATTTAGATAATCATAATTAAATGGTTAGTTTTATTAAATTCGTATTTTATAAAAAAAATACAGTTTCCAAAATTTACTATTAAGCTCAATAAATTATGTGTGTTAGCACACGTTATAGTAGGTCTTGTGCTTAGTTTATTTGAAGTTTAATAAAATTAATTTTAAATGTCAATGTACATAAAATAATATGAATGCATATTTTTATTAAAAAAAACACAAAACAAATAAGTGCATCATATTATAGTTTCTATATTCAGTAGAAGTCCAATGGAAACTGATTTGATAAATAAAGAGCACACTTGATAGGGTATATATCGAGGATCTATCGACCACACTTCTCTCTAAAATCTTGTTTTGAAAAAAAAAAAAAAAAAAAAAAAAAAAAAAACAAGCTAATGCATACTGTGCTAGCGGCATTCTATTTCAAATTTCCTTTTTATCGATAATATCAAAATCTGCTTTTGATTCCAGTTTGACCAATGTCATCAACGTTATCTCTCGTGTCAATCTTTTGTATTGTTCAAGATTGCCCACATATACACCACTTAACCAAATTAACATGGATTCTGTTCTTGATAGAACAACGTTGCTTTACCTCTTGATCTGTCAGTGTCATGTTAACTTAGGAACAATACAGCACTTCTGATTCGAGTATGGCACTTGACCCACCCGCATACTTCACGAATATTCACCCTATTAACATTAGCATTGAGAATTGATATAATAAAACTCCAAATTTCTGAACTGGGGAACCTTAACTACTAGTAAAAATAACATGCAAAAGAAAAAAAAAAAAAAAGAGTCGTATGTGTATGGCATGCATGTGAAGGAAAACTACTGGAACAACACTTGCAAGTCAAAGCTACATTAACCTAGTTTTAATCTACCTTATCGTCCAGAGAATGCAATTCATATATAAGTAGGGTTGGTAGATGCATTTTTCTTTGGTGAATGTGATATTATGTATTTGTCCATGAGAATATTGTAACAAAAAATGGTACTAGAAAATATAAAATCCCGCTCAAAGGCATGGTAAATATTAGCTCTCTAAAAGCATTGACGTAATTGAGAACCGTTTTATTGGAGAAATTAGTAGTGTATTTTCCTACTAAGAGTGTGTTTGCTTTTAATGTTATATCCGAAATGAAACGCATCCCTTAAACAATTTCTTACTCTTAGAACATATGGAAATAAAATAAAATAAAATAAAATTTGGCGTACATGAATGCCAAACCTATCTTCTCACATCTATTGATCTAATTAAGTAGGTAAAAAGTAGAAAGCTATAATCAAATGGTGAAAGCTAAATGTATATGTAAAATTTATATATATATAATATTATTATTCATGAAAATATGCTTCTTTTCCTCAATACTTTTACGACAGGATGCTTTTTTCTTTTCTTTCCAGATTTTATTAATATTTTTAATCATGAAGGATCATTTATGTTCCATCTTTCTTGCTTTCATTATACATAGTAAGTGTATTTGTTAAACAAACATTATTAACGAGGATGTAATAGGATATTCGTTTATAAAATCATTGGAGTTGGATTCTTTAGGTTATAATAAAAGAAAAAGATAACTACATCCTAACAATAGAGAGAAAAATCCCAGTTATTCGTATCTTTTTCCCCTAAAAAAATGTTTTTTTTCTCACACATGGAGGAACGCAGATATTCGCAATGTTCCTTAGCAACAAATGAATCACTAGCCACGCCTCCTTCAGGTTTAATAAAAAATAATAAACAGAATTACTTTAAAATATGTTAAACCTAAGGAATGATACCCCGCCACTCATTTTCGGTAACATTAGCCCCATTAATTCTTAGAATTGCAGCAAAAGCATAACTTTACACTATTAAACATGGACACTAAGCAATAGCATAGTATCCACTTTTCTCTTTAGAAATCAATCATCTCCGAAAGAAGCTCGCTTCAAATCAAAAGCGATTGAATTCTCCGTAAACAACGCGCTTCTATTTGTCATATCAATAGGTTTTCAAGAAGTTATCAATCTCAAATACCATGCGGAAAAGGTTTGATACGCAAACCATGTCACTAAATTCTACGGTCTCAACTGAACATACAGCTTAAACGAAGCCATAAACTCGATGACCTGAAACATCACTCGTCTTCCCTAACAATGGTAAAAATATTTTTAAAAGATCACGATCATTGGTGATGATAGTTTTCCGTACTACCATACATTTATATTCCATTACATTGTCGAAGATAATTTCGTCCAACACATTTTTTAATAAAAACATGTTGGTCCAAAATTATTAAGAGAAAATTAAGGGTCCGAGATTTTCTGAGATATGAGCATCTAAATATTTGTAGTATTCGGGCATGAAACATTATAGTTCAAACTACATAATTTTTTATATAGTTTCTCCACATTATGGTTTAATCAACAGAACGAAAACGTGTACTTTCAGATAAAAACAGTTCAAACCCTTGACCCTAATATGCACACAACATCAAAGATTCGTAAGAAAAACTCATGTTGCAAAAGGGTTTTATCCTTCTCTCAATAACAAGACCAACACAGAAATTACCCACCCAAATGCAAATGCAAAATACAATGCAGACCAAACAACACAAACAAGCAAAGAGTAATTAATTAGAATGTAATTTATTCTATGATCTGATTGCCATAATTTTTGTACAGAAAAAGAAAAAGGTAAGTTCTAAGGGGTAAGAAGCAGATCCAGAGTGAAAGCAGAAGATCTACTCTCAGATCATGTCCAATGCTATGACATAGGATCCAAATAACTTACAACAACAAAGACATAACCATCAAGTTCCAAGAAACCAACCTTCATTTCATCACCACATCACAACAAAGATGGCTATGCCTATTTTTTAACTCTACAACATCATAATAATCTAACAAGTCGGAAACATTTTTCCCTTTTTTTAAATTTTAGTTCCTCGGAAAAAAAAAGTAAAAATCAAAAGAAAATGAGGCGGCGATTATACCAAAGATGGATACGTAGACGGATCGATCATCAGAGGCACAAAGTGGTAGCGCGAAGGTCGTCGGCGTCGTCATCGGCGGGAGGAGGGAGGTTGAGATCGAAGGGAAGGGGTTTCCGGAAGGATGAGGTGAGGACGCAGTCTTCGTCGTCGACGACGGAGGAGGAGGAGTCGCAGTCGCTGTGGCAATCGTCGACGGGGAGAGGGTTGAGTGGTCGACGTGGGTGGAGAGTGGAAGAAGAAGGTACCCTAGGCCCGCTGAAAGACTCAACGGTGCTGCTCATGCCGCTGGTCGTGGGCCGGTTCACTTGGACCGGGTCGAACTTAGAAAACCCATGGTCTTGGTAAAGGGGAATATGAGAGTGATCCATCTCAGGGTTTGGGAAAGGAAAGTTTGTTTTCGCTTTGGGCCCGCGGAAGGATCGGGCTGCAGCGTCATAAGCCCGGGCCGCGTCCTCGGCTGAATCGAAGGTTCCCAACCACACGCGGGCTTTCTTCCACGGATCTCTAATCTCCGCCGCGAATCGTCCCCATGGCCGCTTTCTTACACCGCGGAACCGCGTCTCCTTCGCCGGAGATTCTCGCTCCGCCGCCGGGGTTGGATCTGCGGCGGCGGCGGCGACGACGACGGCGGTTCCTCTCCCTCGGCGCATGGAGGTTATAGATCACGATGACGATGGTGGTGGATGCGTGATTTGAAGAGAAAAAAGAATAGGGAAAGAGGAAACCCTTAACCAGCCACCACCTCTTTCAAAGGGAAATTCTTAATCTTGTTTCTTCTCCATTTCTCTCTCTCTCTCTTTTTTTCTTTCTTAATTTTTATTTTCTCTTCTATGAGGGATGAGAGCTTTGGGGTCCCATGTGTCTTGCCTCAATAGATTATGCATGTTTAGAATGACGTGATTGCCCTTTGTCGTTTCGTGAGGGGGTTGGGAAGGGGAGGGGCAATAATGGTATTTGGGGAGTTAATTGCTTTATTTTTATGGGGTCATATGGGTGGGATGTGATTATTGGCCTCATGGCCATGGGAATGGGGTTTTACATGGAAATGTTAGGCATTTGGGGCATATGCTTGTCGTAATTATTGATGTTATTGTCTTAGTGAGCAACCACGAATGGCTCTTGTTTTGGGAGCAACCGTTTATGGTATTTACGTTTTCTGAAATATTAACGTGTTTTCAGCCAGTTGTCTAATTTTGTACCGTGTTCTCGTCACCATTAGATTTTCTTACAAGAAATGTAATTATTGTCTCCTTTGCAATATCTCATTCAATTTTCTAACCAATCTTTATAAATAGAACTAACCACGTCCCCAACTTTGTTTCGTTCTTTAATTCTTTTCATCATAAAAACAAACCTTTCTTGCCCTCTTTTTTTTAAATGCAAGTCAAAGCTTTGTTCGTACATCCTAAATAATGCCACGGCTAAAGGTTTAGTTAAAATTACTTCCAAATTATTCATTTTCTCGCATTTTAGATAGAAAGAAGCAGGTGATTAAACGAATCATATAACAAAAATAAACCTTAAACCTTTTGATGATCTATTATTTGGAAACAAATAAACCAAGCTTACAAAAATCAATAACATGTACGTGTCTTGTGCTTTATTTATAAATAGCATGTTTAGTAAATTCATTATTGAGTGTTTAAATATGATTTTGAGTCTAAAATCATAAATTAAAATGAAGATGGAAAAGAAATGCTTAGTCATTAAGATAAATTGTATAGATCATTAGTTTTTCGCACATCGGTGCATGTTTGCTGTCACTTAGCAAAAAAAACATTCATTTGTTCTTTAAAAGATAAATTAATCTAAATAACTGATGATTTTTTTAAAATAAACTCAACAAAATACACATTAATTTTCTTGTGGCTGGTTAGATTAGAAACTGAAATATATTCAATTGTTTATACTTTACAAACTAATATTAAATAGAACTTAAATTTGAGATGACGAAATTTGTCTTATACAAGTACGTTCAAAAGTCTAATCTAATCTTAGAAATTGTGAAAATTCTCATTTGCGTTTATTAAACTTCAAAGCAAAACGTACCATTAGAATCTTGAAGTTTGTAGCTTAGATCTATTTAATTAAGCTAACTACATATTGAGCTAATTTAGAAGAAACTATTTTTTTAACTACATTTTCGTGCATTTGCATCACAACTTTAAAATGACAAAATCTGGGTCTAATTTTTTAAGATGTTTTCTATATAATTATTTTTAGTTAAAATTAGAATTTTACTTTGATAACTTGCGATAATTATAAATTCAAATTTTGTCATCAAGATAAAATTCTAACTTTAATTGAAAAAAATAACACAAAAACATCTAAAAAAATCATACCTAAATTTTATATTTTAAAATAGCACATAAGAATATTTATGTCTAACTCTTTAACTCAAATTAAATATAATATTCCCAAAAAAGTACAGATATACATGGAAATGAAACAAAAAGACGAGAAAGAATATAAGTGTGTGCGTGCGCGCGCTTGAATAAAGAAATATACCGTTATGATCAATTTTAATAAACATTTCAATCATATTTAAAGATTTAAAATTAATATGTTCAGCTCCTTAAAAAAAAAAAAGCCTTGAATTTGTTCAGGTAACCAGGCAGAAGGCATTACATTTCATTACGTACATAGAGGCATTAACCAAGTTTTAAGAAAAAAATATACAATTACGTTTCATGAATTGAAATTATTATTATTTAAATGGATAAATAATTTTGGTACCAAATAATGAAGAAAAAAAATGAAGTGAGATGAAGAGTTAATTAATAAAAAGATTCAAAGAATAAGAGTCATGCACATAAATTTAAAGATAAAATTATAGTCTTAGGCCAACACTAATATGTTAGTGTCACAATTTACAAATTTGTAGTGTGGGAAGACATGGTAGAATACTCCAATACTAAATGATGAGAATTATAGGAAAATTACAACATAAAAATTAGCTATTGTCTATGACTTATAAATCTTACATTAGAATCTCATATTTTTTAACTTGGACTCAAGTCACATAATTTGCAAGTAGATCCTAACATTGAAGGAAAAGAGACAGAGGGTTAAGAAAAAAAATTCAACTTTAAGGGGCATATAATTTTTTTTTTCAAATTTAAAAACTCTTAAATATAAATTTTCATCAAATAAACATTCTATTTTCTTAAATTTAACTCTCAAATAAAGTTTTAAGGAATAAAGGGGTTCATAATTCTCGATGCATTCTACACTAGAAGAGCCATAATAATATGGAAGAGAATTACATTTATTCCTTCAACCTACATTACTGTCATGCTAGCATATTCGTATAAGCATGTTTGAATTACGTCACAGGTTTTCAAAATAACATAAATGTTTCATTTTAGAGTGTTATTATAACTTACAACTTATTAATAATAAAATTTTAAAAATAAAATATGATATTAAATATAAATGAAGGCTAATTTAATCTATATCAAGAACATACAATTGTCTCCTTAAACTCTAGGACATCAATTGTCTCCTTAAACTCTAGGACATTAATGTCTATTAGCATCTTGGTCATATTTGATGCATTACTTCAACAATAAGAATGGGGGAGATAGTATCCAGCTTGACTTGAACAAGGCTTATGACAAGGGTTTCATGGAAATTGTAAGGTTAATAAGAGCCATGAAAGATCAAGGGTATTCATCAAAGATAAACGTTTCCATTGAGAACACATGCTTCTATATATATATTATATGTGGTGTATTGGGAGAATAAGAACTACGTCCTTTATGTGTGTCCAGGAGATGCAGCTATCAGGATTTTATTCCCCACACCAATTTGGTCCACTTTCTTCAAGCAGCTATAGAGTGATGTAAGAAGTCTCATATTCCCTGCTAGTGTAGGATGAGAACATAGAAGCCAAGAGCCTAATGTTATTTTCTTGTGGAATATTTGGAACGACAAATACTTCCATGATTTTGATGTATCCAAGTTAGATGAATTAACCTTGTAAATTATAAATTATTAGTATGTAATTAATGGATGATAATTTTTATAATAGTTGATTAATAAATAACTATGATTAATAACTAGTAAGTATGAAATTTATCAGCCTAACACACTCGAATGTGCATAATTTTTTTCATTTAGAACTAGAAGATTCATGAAGCTCTCAAAGAGTTAAGAATGGACAAACCATTTGAATGTATATAATATTGATTGTCTTTTTCTCCTCAACCTTAATTTGATTTAGAGATGGAGATTTGAAAGCATTTGTCTTTTGTAATTTTTTCCTAGCACATGATATAAATCTGTCTATTGTAAATATAAAAATAGTGTTTAACAGTAAGGCAGGCAAAGATCAAATTTCATCCGATTGAATTTCGTTTGGCTGAAAGTTCAGCTGCTTTTGGTTCTTCAATGATTATCATTTGTCTCAAGGAATCCTTTATGAAACTTCTGAAAATGAAGATAAAGTAACAGGACAATATCCAAGAGATGAGACATCGCTATTTAAAATAGAAAATAAAATTTAAAATCAAAACGGATAGTACATTCATTATATTCTTTATTTTGTATTTCATACATCATAGCTACTGTTGGATGAATTGAAAGAAAATACAAAGTAAAAAAGCTCAAATAAAGATTTTTTTTAAAAGAAAAAAAAGAGGAGAAAAGTTAATTTTTTAAACAAAAATTTAAATTCTTTTTTTCATATTTTTTCTGTGATTCAAATTTTAAAAATTTCTCTTTTTCTCTTTTTTTTTCTCACGCAACCAAACACATTAGTGTTGGAAATTGAAACTATTAAAATTGAATTTTTTATGTAAGTGAAGAGTAAAGATCAAGTTCAAAAACAAGTATCAGATTTGAGATCTTCTATTGATGTTTTGCAAGAGGTTGGTGTTTTGATGATAATATAAGAATTGCTAATCAAAGTATCATGTTGATCAAGATGTGTTGATTGAAGATTTGATCAATTAATTGGATGCTCAAGACTTGGTGTGTTTGATATATTTAGCTATTTGATTGTAGTTATTGGTTTAAACAAGTATAATAGAAGGTGTCAAAATTATTACAGAGTCACTTGGTAATTAGCATAAACTAGTTATCAAAATCTTAACAGTTTTGTCGCCTTTTTTTCCCTATAAATATATATATATTACAATGATGAAATGAATTATTAGATTTCAGTTACTATAAACTCTCTTATTACAAAGTATAATACATCCAATTTCTTATGATAATTACTAACAAGGATCAAAGAGTATATATCCATTCACTTTCATTTTCGTTTCACCCTTTCGATTGCCTTCCTTTGTTCCATCTATCTTCTATACATTTCCTTTCATCTTTAGCTTCAATCTTTTTTGTCTAAAAGACAAAATATTCTATGTGATTAGAACCCATTTTAGACAGGAAAAAAAAAATCCGACACCCCAATTAAATTGAACTTAGAATAACAAAGTTTTAGCACATATAAGAATATTACCCGTAATCAGTAGGCAAAACAATATATTCAATCCTTATCAATTAATATTCTCAAAAAGATTATGTACCACTTATAGAATTTTCTCTAAAATTTAGACTGTGAAGACGAGGTATAGAAAATTTATTAAATTCAAAGGAAGTCAATTGTTTGGTCACTTTCATTGAAGCTAGGCCCATTAAGAAATTTCAACTCAATTCAAGCAACAAGCTTAACAAAGCACTACATGGGGGAAAAAAAGGTATTTGCATCTTCTGATCTTTAATAACAATATTAAATCATGTCCAAGAAAAATGGCACAAAATTTATCATGTAATAACTTCACATTACTAGTTGTAAGATATTAGATATCTAAAAAGAAATATCTTTCTCTCTAATATGATAAATTCACATTTCATATATAAGAACAAAAGAAAATTAAAATAAATTAGATACGCGTAAAGCTGGTGGATTCGTATATTGTCTTCTTCCTTTATTTATTTAAGTTTCAGTACTCAAATTGGCACTGGTGAACCCAGGAGGAATTAAATCCTCTCATGCTCCTTTTATGTATATCGTGGGAAAGACAGACAAAAACAAGTTGGATAGACTCTTCAAAATAATAATAAATTTCCCTAAGTGTCTTTTCAATCGTGACAAGATGATGAAATTAAGAACCCAAATGAGTTACAATAAATTTTTCTACGTGTCTTTTCACTCGTGACAAGATTATGAACTAAGAACCCAATTTAGTTACGAACTCCCCCATATCACTTTGCATTTCCAAACTCCACCATAGCCAACAAAAAAAGCATTTCAGGCTCAAGTGGGCAAAATTTAACGGATAGCAATACAAATTATAGATAAAAAAAATTATCATTAATTCTGAAAAATAAAAAAAATAGTAAAAACACTAATAATAATGATGTTGACAATAATTATTATTATAAATTAATAATAATAATAATAATAATTTAGTTCAAATGATAAGTAATAAGATCTCAAGTTCAAATTACTATATCTAGATTCGTAATTCCAGAATATTAGTAATTATAGTTATGAAAATAACAATAATAAATAAAAAAATTCTCCGTTCGTGTACTGTATGAGTATGAGATATTCGAAAAACATAACTTAAAAATTTGGGTTAGAGACGAGTTGATATTATTCCTGCAAATACTTCAAACAATGATTCCATACTAGAGAGCTTCTTTCTTGTGAAGTTTATGGATTACGTTTGCATGAAATATTATAATTTTACTTGATCTTCAACTTTATAAACTTTTCCCTGTAGTGTCCGTTATGACGCTTGGATAATGAGACAGTAAACCATAAAAGAAATGTCATATTAAAGGTATTGAGCTTGAAAAAAAAAAAAATATATATATATATATATATATATAATAAATATTATATCAAATTAATAAAATATATGATAAGATTTTCCTATTGATAAATAAAAAATACCAACAATAATATTTTTTCACCAACTCATCATGTCATTGAGTTCTTTAGATTTAATAATCTTATAGCTAATTGTAAAGAATAAATCTCACATGTATTTTATTTATTGTTACTATAAACAGAAAGGCTTCAGTAAGATGAAAGATCAATCAAAAAGTTAAAAATAATATTTGTAACTAAAATTAGAAGACAAAAATAATTTTTTTTAAATGAATAAAGTTAAAAGTACTGAATGATTTTTTATGTGTGTTCAGGGAACCGTAGTGTAAATTAAATTTAAAAGAAAGAAGTTAGATTTTGTTGATATGGCCTAAAAGTAAAAGTGAGAGGCAAGATAAGCTGATGTGGCAATTTTATAACCCACACTTCAACTTTTATATATTAGGAAAAAAAAAATGTACTTATTCTCTTCTGTTTTCCGTTCATCTTTGAGCTATTTCACAACCGCAATTAAATCGAAGAAAGAACAACCTAGTCTCTTTTTTTTTTTAATTAAATGGATCCCTAAGAATCCTGTCATTCTTAAAATTCCAAGTGGACATCATCCCAAAATAAAAGCAATTAAATCTCCATATTATTGATATTTTTCTATATAGATATATAGATATAATAATAATAAAGGATTAAAAGCCAGTTAGGCACGCCCTTAAAAATGATGTAAAAAATTACTGAAAAGTTTGTCATACATCCCTGAGTTTTTCATCCAGCACTTTTAAGTGTGTACCAATCTGACCCTAAGAGAGAGAAAAAGATAAATGAAAGGTCACAAACTTTCTACCTGCATTTTATTCACCACAAAAAATGCCTTCCATCCCCCACAAGCTAGTGGTTGTAAGAACAACCTTTGAACAAACTATCCAACTCCACAGAATTGCAGGTGAAAAGGGGGGAACAGATGGTATGTATGATATATATTTCTCCTTAAAATATGGAAAGAAAAAATGTCCCAAAGAAAGATCAAACTTGAAGCAGTTTAGTCATGTAAAGACTCTGAGGATGGTGGGAGGGAATTTGATGTAGTATCAACTTGTTTGGATGAATCTTCTGCAGCAGCTTTTGTATCAGAATGCTGAAGCTTGTCACTTGATACTTTAGATGGAGATGTCTCTGATGGTTGAACAGTTGATAACCCTCTTGGATTACTAATGAGAGATGCATCAATTACAGTTAGAGTAGGTGAGGTCAAGCCATAGTTCTGAGGGATAGCCAAAACTGGATGATCAAATTTGCATGTAGGGCCAAACTTGCATATTCCATTGATTCTGTAGTAAGAGCATATAGCCTGCCCCTGTAGATAATCATGATATGAATCAGGAATCTAAATACTTAGACTTCATGGCATTAGTAGCCAATATGGAATATGAAAATGCCTTCATAAGACATTAGGGAGAATAATATGAACAAAATCTTAAGATATTAGAGTAACTAAGCATCAAGGAGAAACCGAACTTACAGGTCTCACAGGAAGGCCAAGTGGATTTATTAACGATTGAGCTATCCTTTCTTTTGGGTGGTGAAACTTGCAATCAGATCCATATTTGCATGTCCCAGTGCTCATGAAGTATCTACATTCTGGTTGATCAGGTCTATCTGGGAGAGCTGAATTTAATACTTGCCCGCCAGAAAGTGACTCGCTCGGATTCATATAATCGTAAACAAGATTAGATCCAAGAAAACCGGTAGGGATTGCAGCGTTCATACTTCCCTATTTTGAGAAACATAATCACAGTCAAAACAAAAGATCTTCATTGAATTTGCAAAAGGTACCATTAACTGTATACAGTAACCGAAACTCAACATAATTAATTGTCACTAAAAGCGAAACATTCTCTGAAACTTTCCTAAAAAACAAAGCACATCCTGCATCAGAAATTAATCAGTATATGAATGCCAGGAATAACAGTATTGCCATACACAGACCACTTCCTCTAAAGTTCCTTCCTTGCAATGTCCATGACATTTGGCGGTAAGAGATGGCAACAATATTTTAGAATCTTCATGCATTTATTTATCTAGATATATTAGACAACAAAATTGATTGTGCTACCAAGAAAATGAATATTGACCAATGCTTCATGAAGCAATAAAAACTTGCATGTATGGAGTAAAATTTCAGTAATAAGGCAGAAGAAGAAAAACACAATTTGGAACTGTTTTTTTCCCTAACAATGAGCCCATCTATATAACCCTTGCTATCATTCATCATGAGATAAAATCAGTCAGCATCAAATTCAATGACAGGATAACCACTGTGCGGAAGAGAAAAAACAAAAGACCACAGCATACAGCAAATGCATATAAAAACAGGACATTCAACATCCTTAACTAACCATGTAGTTGGTCCAGCTCGGCGCAGGTATCATGCCTTGTGAAGAAGACAGAAAAGGAGGCACATAAGATTGAAGGCCCTGCCCAGATAAATACGACATTCTTGATACTGACCATGCAGGAAACCCACCAACATATGGCAAACCTGATGTAGGAATAATCGTTGAAGCAGGAGATCCAGCCAACGGGTATGCTCCAAAGGAAGCATGCTGTGGATGATGAAACTTGCAAGCAACTCCAAACTTACAGGATCCAGTTCTCATGTAATAGGGACACGATTTTTCTTCCTAAAAGCAACAATCAAAAAATGTTGAAAATTGCAATGTTTCCAACGTCTTCCATCAACACAGTAAAAGTAATCAGTTTGGAAAAAATAAAGTAACAGGTGTGAAGAGAAGTGCAAACCTGACGCATCGGAAGACCTAAAGTATTGAATAACACAGGAGCAGCACCTCGCCTGTCCTTTGGATGATGATATTTACATGTTGATCCATACTTGCATGTCCCTGTCTTAAGAAAATACTGCAATCCATATTTTAAACAAGATCACAAGTTACTTAATTTGAATAGGTCATAAAACACACAAAGTTTCAATGCACTGGAATACCAATTGAATCTCTCATGAGAAAAAGACAGTGTAGTATGCAAAAATCTTCAGATTATAACTCAGTTCCTGAACTTGATATTTATAGTATAATAGATGTGAAACTCAAGTTATTGTATTTATTTCCTTTTCTAGTTCAAGTATGCCATAGCTGGCATCAAATAAAAATTTTCCACCATCATCATAAAGAAATCCAGTAAATAAGTTCTACAGGACAAAAAACCATAATGTGTCCACTAAAACAAAAATAAACAATTCACCAATAGAAAACAAAATGACAGATGTTCTACACTGACAGCATAACTACTACATTTTTTGTCCATTTCATTAGGTATCCCACTTCATTTTCTTCCCCTCCATTTATTGATTTGCTAATGGTGTACTAGCAATCACTAAGCTAAAGATTTCAAACAGACCAAACCACCATCATTAAATTAAAAGGGACCACAACAAAGGACAAGCATAAGTGCAGAAAACAAGTGAAGTTTCTGCAGAAGGGACATAAATGAAACGCATATCTTCAGAATTTTTTATGGAGTCATCTTCAAACATGAGAAGTTTTATTTTTTATTACAAAACAAGCTGCCAAGGTTGGGTTTGTTAAAGAAAAAGAAAGTGTTTCATTGTAAATGTTCTTGTATAAAACACACACCACATTCAGTTTCATGTAGCATAGTTCTTTCATGAACTAACAACTATCCCAAAGCTTTAAGTTATTAAGTGAAGACAAATGAATGGTTTTGCATCACAACTTCAACACACTCCTTTGCATGAGAGCCCTTTGGAGGCATGGAAAATGAACAAGCCCGAGGATCAAATTCTAGACCACTTGGTCATAGAGGCTCCAATGCCATGTCATGCATTAGATATCCCAAAAGCTTAAGCTACTAGGCGAAGATGCATGAATGGTTTCATATTACATTCCTAACAAATTCAACAAGAAAATTTGTTGCAAAACAATTTCAATCACCAAAAGTAAACATACCTCACAATCAGGTTGCCCAACTCTCTGAGGGAGTTCTTCGCCATAATGAGTACCCTGAAAATCTAATAAAGTATGAGCAACATTGATCTGCTTGTGTATGATAAAACATAAAACTAACAAGCAGATTGGAGAGTAAGTTATTAGAGAAACGGAAAGATTACAACTACATAAACTACACTTGTATCAAATATTTTACCAAAAAAGTTTTTTCATAATATCTAGAAGATAATGATTAATGAATGAAAAGGAAATAAAAGAAAGAGCTTCGTACAAGGGAAACATGAGCAGGGTGATTGTAGCGACAGTTACTCCCATAACCACACATTCCAGTCCTCAAATAATACAAGCAATCAGGTTCACCGGGTCGATCCGGATATTGGGTAGATTGAGCTGCAGCATCTCTATCCCGATTGTCATTGATTTTCAAACGTCGAATTGCTTCTGCAATACAGACAAGACAGAAATCAGGCAAAGTCTTTCCAAAGTCTCAACGTGCATTTAAACAAATTTAAGCAATAACTCAAATTGGGCGCAGTCAGAGAGCAATACCACTAATCGGATCAGAAAATTAAGATTTTCACCTCATAAAGCACACTATTGTGGTTAAAAGATTTAAGATCAAAACATGCCAGCGATACTTTGTTGCATCAATTATGCAAACCCATGTGTGATCAAGCACAACACTTGAGTTTAGGGAAGAAAACACAACAATTTTCTTAACATTTTTCACTCACACAAGTTAAGCCATGTTTTCAAAAATCCCCATAAGACTAACAATACATTGTGTGAATTATCAAAATTCTTCAAATCAAAACCATCGTACCATAAAAACAAAGGCATCGTATCATATAATGAAACAAGATCGTAGAGTAAAGATAATCTAAAATCTATTTCCTCGCAGAACAACATTAAATGATGATCAGAACCATTTAAACCATGAATCATGACCACCCCAAAAAGGAAAATCAGTCACCAGAAAAATCTGCAACACCTTCAATGTTATCACCAGAAGGAGTAGAATCAGCATTCCTCAGAACCTGCCGGTTTTCTGGCATCTGGTAGCGTTGAAATGACAAGAGACACTTTTGCTTGTTCGATCAAACCCAGAAGACCCTTTTGAGCTTTTAAGAAGAAATCAGCACAACACTCTCAAATTAACTCACCCAGATGGTAAAATGATCATCAAGGAGAGACAGTGAAAATTGACCAAAGATAAAAGGCAATAAAATAAAATTTCCAAATATTATTAAAAAGAAAAAACAAAGGTACAAGGAGAGAATCACAGATAAAATTGAGAAGAATCAAATGTGATATCTTAAAAGAGATATAATAATATTCCAATTGGATGAAAGTTAGCGTCAAATTAGATTAGAGTTTCCTGGCTGTGGCTCAGCAACCTTCGGAACATTTTGGATCTTTGAATGTGAAACCCGACAAGTTAACTATAATAATATTAATACAGTAATACTAAAGTAAGGTTCTTGCGCGCGTGTACGAACAATAAATTCTCTGTACCATATTACCCTCCACGTGGCTCCTCCATAACATGTTTACGTGAACCACGATTTATTACTATCACTATGGCGCGTGCATTGCAGTCACTACCACAATTTGGATTGTTAAGAAAATTTAATTAGCCTGAAAAGTAGATGCAAATGATGGTAAGGTAAATAAGTGGCATTTTTTTTTTGTCAGTAGTGGCATTTTCACTGTTGATTTTATTCTCAGCTCTTCGGACTTAGCCTTTGTAATTCTTTTCATAAATAGAGGTTTCGATTTTTTGGTGCACTTTCAAGTAGTAATTAGAATTTTGAACAAACAAAAAATGCGTGTAATGATTTGCTTTTTATTTGTGTGTGTATATATATATATTATAGCTATTGTTGAATGAAATATATTAATATATTTTTTAATTAATTTAAATATGTTATGCCTTTGAATTTCTTTTGGAGTTAGTCCCTTTCTTATTTTCAGGCTTTATATTGAATAAAAAGAAATATATTTTTAGTCTCTCATTAGAATAATTTTAAGAGATAAAAGTAAATCTGTATACCTTTTAGTACTAAAATTTGAAAAAAAAATTGATGGATTAATTAAAAATAATACAATTTTAAAGTTTAGAAACATATTTAAACTAATTTTTAACCATGAAAATGTAAATAATAGTAGAAAAACTTCCTCACCAAAATATAGTTATGAGTGACAATTTTTTCTCCTTAATTTAAAATAAAAAATTGTTAACTTAAACGTACAAAAATAGTAAATTTTTATTAAAAATATATATTTATTACAATAAAATTATAAAAGAGTGACAATATTTTATTAATAAAAAATTACTACTATTTATTACTTAACATTTTTGTTTTAAATATACCAGCATTCTTAACATAATGTTAATCAATGACCTTAAAGAGCACTATAAAAGAATTTTTTTAAAAAAATAAATTGTTTTTGTGAAAGATGACATTATACACATTTACTGTAATTTTTAATACATTTTCATTATATTTTTTTTAACTTAACCAAAGTTTTAATCGGTTAACAAAACCTTTTAGAATACTCTTTAGGTTAAATTTTCTATTTTTGTTATCTAAACCATACTATCGTCTGGAAAGGACAAATTGTCAGATAAGACGTCAACACTATATTTGGTTAAATAAAAAAAAAGTTAATTGGTTAAAAAAACGAAATTCTATTATTTGGAAATCAAGATTCTTTTTTTTTTCTCTTATTTTTTGTTTAAAAAATAAAAAAATTATTATCCTTGTTTTCTTTTGTCTTATTTAAACAAAATTTAAAGTTGATGACTCTGCAGTTGCCATAAAAACTTAACAACTTAAAAAACCATTTATAGTGGCATTTTGACTTTTAGATTTTGCTGACAGTTGGTGGTCAATTTTAACAAATGTGTTTGGTTAAACCCAAATATTCGTTAGCAGTAGTACCACTTTGTATAATTGCCAATTGCAACTCACCAAAATTTAAAATAAAAGTAAATACGTTAAAGAATAATACAAACGAAGACTTCCAATTTTCCGTCAATGAGAGGAGATTTTGACCGTTCGATTCAAGTTACGGTGGATACGTGTAAACGGTGAATTTTCCTAGTGGACGACAAGGGCAGAAATGTCATTCAAGTAGCGCCAGAAAACTTCTCGGAAAAATGACACATTCGAGCATCGGTGTTGTGAAAAATCGTCGCCGTTAAAGTGAACCATAGTGGAAGTTTGGATACACGGCACGTGGAAATGATTCAGCCATTGATTAAAAAGTCATTGGTGGGCCCATCCTTTCTTGTTGTCGGCAATTTATTTTAATTAAAATCAATGAAGTCAAGCATGCGTTTTTGCATCATCAATGCACGTATGATGTAATAATAATAATCTATCTTTTTCAATAAGTATTTTTAACACTTATACAAAATTAAAAGTTTTATGATAGAATCCTAGTCATAATTTGTTTAGAGTGTCTTTTAATTGAAAATTATACAAAATATTGAGTTTTAATGATTTTTCATTATTAAATTCATTTTTATGGAAAACAGTATGAGCGATAAATTTCAGTAATCAGTAACAATAAGTTGAATGCGTAATGAAAAAAATCCATTTGAAGTTAGAAAAAAAAACTATCGTGGCTAGGGATTTTTGTATACTTGTATGACTCAACTATATTTTATAATCACTGTTTTTAAATGAAATTTATTTTTTAAAATGACGCAAATTACATAGAGTTGTGAATTTCGCTCACAAATGTATGCAATTTTTAAATATATTTTTTGTCTCACAAAAAAGTGTTAATTAATACAATTTTATATGTTTTTTTTATTAACTTTATAAAAAGTACTCTATTAATTAACACATGCTTTGACGTAATTATATTTTATTGTTTATATAAGATAGCTAACACAGTCATAGCACAATTAAATTTGTTTACTTCGTACAAAAAAAAGTGGTAAGTCTGTCTATGAAATCCGTTTACACGCCAAGCCAAGCCAAGCCAACTATTGACTTACCATAAAATTGTGTCAGTAGTCATGACCGATCACATGATTCGTCGCTCAAAACTCTGACTCTTGGATAAATAATCTGTGACCTAAAGTAATATTTCATGTAGAACGATAAATTTTAAAAATATTTTTTAGGCATTTTTTATAATTATTTTAATAAATACTTATATTTAATATTATCATCAATTGTTGAATTAAATCTTAATTTTAAATTAAAAAAATCTAAAATACTTGAAAACTTACCTCTAAAAGTGTTCTCATATACAATCCATGATAACATATCACGATTATTACTGTTTGATACGGAATTTGCGGTTCAAGGTCGGGAGTTTCTCGTAAAATCTCGAGTTGTAGATACCTGACAAAAGTGTACGAGTTTTGGTCAGCCAATCAAATTTGCAAAAATTAATTTTAATTAAAATTAACCTAATCAATATTTAAAATCCTTTTTTTATCTTAAAATTGATTTATCAAGTAACGTTTAGTTTAGTTTTTACATATTCAATTATCTTTAAATCAATCATTGGTTTAAATATTATATATAAAAAAGTTTTTTGTACTGCGAGAATTAAGTAAATTTACCAACAGTTGATTTTTAGTAAACAGATTGTCTTTAGCAAAAGATAAATTATAATTTAAATAAAAACGAAATTATTTTTTAAAGCGTTTTAATATAAAAAAGTGAAGTGAATTTTAAATTAGTGTGATATGAAAGTACATATCTTTTATTTTTACTTAAATCTACTTTAAAACTAAGTAAATTTAATTTGAGAATATATATTCTTTAAAAAACATGTATATAATAGAGAAATATTTAAAGAAAAAAATGAAAAACATGTAATAAGATAAATAATAAAACGATTATATAATTTTATTGTGAAAAGTATAAATTGTCATCTAATTTCAACTGAAAATATCTAACATCGTCCTTCCCGGTAGAGTCACGTTCTACATCCACAAATCTATTTTAGAGTTCTACACCACAGAATAAATGGTATTTATAGGCAATCGTTGTCGCTTCAATTTAAGAATTTTTTTCATTTGTGTTTCTTTGAGTCAATCAATAATTTTTTTATTTAAATATTACCATTTAAACATTTTAAAATAAACCACATTCTAATATTATACCCTTTTAACTAATCAATAAAACACAATAACATATATGACTTATAAATTAGATTATTAATTCAACCCCTAAATGAGGATGAATACATTTTTATTCATGGATTTTATAGATAATTTTATTTCTAAAACAATTAAAAAATATCTATACTAAATTACGTGTTAAGTCAATATGTTAAAAGACTAGCCTCATAATTATTTATTAAAAATCATTACAAACTCTTTTTTTTTTTACGAAGTTTATAATTTTATAATATAAATATATTGTAAAATTTATTATTATTTTACCGTACGTAATTGATAAAAATATTATTATTAAATTTGAAAGACAAGTTGTTAATGATCTAAAACTAATATTTTTAATAACTTATTTATTTATATATTGAAAATAAAACTGAAAATTAAGTTTTATTTAGAAAAAGAAAAGACGAAAATGGGACGATGACGTTGATTGTAGTATTAGACGGTTGAAAGAAATCTGACGTTAATGATTAAAAGTGGGATCCGAGAGAAAAAGTGAGCGTTGGATGCAGAGTGAGTCAGACACGAAGCCCGAAGGCATTGCATCTCTCGTTCTCATCACAGACAACGTAAGATTTGGTGGTCCTGAGATGCGTCGGAACAATTGGGGAGACGAATAGTGATGAGACACGTGTCGTATCAGCCCACTCCTGGAAATCAAAAGTTGCATCAGGTGGTCTCGAGCAACAGTGAAAAATGAATGCAAGTATTGGGCCAAGTCAACATATTTGATGACCCTAGGAGGCTATGGCCTATATAGACTAGCTTGTTCCATGTGCCACTAATTCAACCCTCTGTTTGGGGTGGTCAGTTGTCACGATTAACCCTCTATACCCTTTCCAATTCATTCCCCATCTAACTTGTTTCCAAAGCAAAGAATATTTCCTCCATCAAGTTTTTTCTATTTTTCTCAAATTAAATCAAACCACATGACTCATTTGTATGATTGCTTTTTCTTGATTCTGGTTTTTTTAATTTGATTTGTGACTTGAATACATCAACATTGTTCCATATAATGTTTTAGCAAGTAGCTTTTGTTTACCATGGTAGATCAATCACACGTGTGAAAAATGAGAGTTTGTGCTATTTTAATGGGGTGGAATGGTTAGTGCCACGGAATAGTCATCGTGATGGCAGGAGAATCCAAAAACTCAGAAGATTAGGAAGAAAAGTCAGTTGGGTGCATGCTCCTATAGCTTTTCTTGTTTTTTCCAAAAGGTGCCAGTAACACTTTAGAATTAATCTTTAAAAAATATATTAAAATATTATCTATAA